GCAAAACAGTAAAGCCCTGACCTTCATAGACCGTGGAGTCTGGTACACAGCGGGCACTTAATACATCGTGGCCTCTATTAGTATCATCATTCCTAGAGGCCTGGGGTTCCTGCTCACTCATTCTTGCAGCAAGCTTTTGTCAAGCACCTGCTGTAAGCCTGGCCCCTCCTTGGTGCAGGGGAGACAGTGGGGAACAGAGGGCAAGCCCCACCCTCAAGGAGCAGACATTCTAGAGGGGACAACGGTGTGAGCTCGAGCCTGTCGTGCACCCTTGGAGGTGGGCTGCCTCCTCAAACACACAGACTTTACCCCGAGAGCCGCTGCCCTGGGGGCGTGGTCTGGAGCATGGGACCCCACCAGATCATGGTTGACCCTGAGCTCAAGTTGGCTGAGTGCCCACCACAGGCCTGGGCGGGGGCTGGGGGCAGCCATGTGCCCAAGCTTGTGCCTCACTCCCCGGACACCCCTAGGATCAGACCCAGGAGGCCCGGCTTTCCCCACTCCCAGCTGCCCCCACCACCCACGGCTCCCCAGTGTTACCCGTCTGCCCTTGTCCATGTCTCGCCCCCGGGACCCAGGATGTCTCCTCCACTCAAGGAGAGGTTGTGGAACCCGGCCCTGTCAGAGTCTGACGAGGGCTGCAATATTTTCTTTCCCCTGATGTTAATATGCTGACACTAAGGGGACTTGAAACCATGTATGTCATCGGAGGACGGGTTAGAAAGGCCAGGGCGGTTGTGCCTGGAGAAGACTGGAAGGGGACATGAGCGCTGTCAGCAAGGATTTAGAGGTCTGTCATGTGGCAGAAGGAGCCACGTGTTCCCAGTGGCTCTGGAGGGCAAACTTGGGAGCGAGGGGGATGGGGGTGGAGTGGGGGAGTTCTAGGGAGAGAGACTCCACTCAGCACAGGGCCCAGCCACCCTCCCTAACCCCGCCTGGCGGTGGAGTGCCTGCCAGAAGCAGCTTCTTGTCCCTGATAGGGCTGCCCAGAGGGTTCGTGTGTTGCTGGGGCCAGACTCCATGACAGCAGAGGTCCCTTCCAGCCCCAAACTTAGTGATCCGTGCTCTGGGAATGGGGTCACTCCGGCTGGCAGGCAAGAACACACACCTGCACCCCCTTGATGATAACAGCACTTGCTGGCTGAGGACACCGTGTCACTTTCGGTCACCGCATCCGTGCAATTTGCAGTGACAAGCGTGTGTTTCACCCTAGCTTCGAGGGCTGTGGGTGGGCAGTAGGGGGGACAGGGGGAAGGGTCGGACTCCTTGCCTGTGACATGATAGCAGAGGATCCTGGGGGCCCCCATTAGGGGGTGCAACTTGCCTTAGCAGCACACCTCCTTCTTCAAATGGAACTTTCAAGTCCCCATACATGGTTTCAAGTCCCCTTAGATGCCCAAGATGTGAAACAGGGAAATGTTGCTGCTTTTTGGAAGAGGGCTTGAGAGACCTCAGCCTCATCTCGGCATCCACGTCTGTAGCCCCTGACAAAGTCCGGGAACCCTAACAGTTCCAGAGAGCACACAAAGCAAAGAAAGCCGACTTTGAGCCTGATGGCCTAGGTTTGAACCCTGGCTCCACTACCTCCTACCTGAATGACCTTGGACAAGGTTCTCAACCCCCCTTGCGTCTCCGTTTCCCCACTGCAAAATGGGGACAATCATAGTGCCTCTTCCTTCCATTGCTGTTGGGAAGACTGAGTTGTTATGTCGTGGGGAGTGTCTAGAACACCTGGCTTATTGCCAGAGGAAGGGTCAGCTCTCCCACAGGTGAAGGTACGGACATCTGAGAGTCTGGGCACCTTGCTCACGGCCCCATAGCTGTTTAGGGGCTAGAACAGGACCTCCACCCAGTTCTCCTAGACTCCTAGCCCAGTGCTCATGCTGCCTGCCCACAGAAGGCTACTTGTTTTGGGTGGGCACTCCCTGGGTCTCCGGCGGCTCTTCTCAGCATGTCCTCCGGCTTCTGGGGTTCACAGGCTCCATTGTCAGGGGTCCCCTCCCTACAGCAGTTTTGAGAAAGACTTTTTTGGTCAAGAGAGGAGGTAGACCTCCATGGAGAGTCACCTCATGGCCAAGATGTGTGTGGAAGGGGAGGTACGTGGAGAGGGTGTGGGAGGCCAGAGGAACCCAGCCAGAGCACAGCCTCCTACCACGGCCTCACAGCTACCAGATCAAGAGCCTGCTCATACCCACTCTGGTCCTGACCCTTCCCTGCTCAAAAACCTTCCATGGCTCCCACAGCGAGCCCCTCAGCCTGACAGACAAACCCCTTCCCCATCAGGCCCCACTCCCTTCCCAGCCAGTCCTCCTCCACTTCACACCCACTAGCTTAGACCAGCTCCTCAGACAACGCGCCTGACCCTCCCCCCACCCCTACTCCCTCTTCTTGCTCTTGCTCTTCCCTGTCCCTGGATCATCTCGCCCTCACCGCATAGCCATCCGCCAGACCACACCAAATACCACCTCCTCAGGGAAGCCTTCCCAGATAGCCCTCTAGTCCAGCAGGCATTTCTTAATTTGTGCTCCCAGAGCCCTCTGTTTACAGCTGAGAGGAAACGAACACTGCCAACTTTAATCACAATATGTATCTATCAAGTGCCAACAGTAACCCCCTGGGGTAGGTGCCGCCGTTGTCTCTACTGGAAGGCACTGAGTGCTGAAGACACTTGTCCAAGGCCACTCGGCTACAAAGAGGCAGAAACTGCACTCACCCTTTGGGCTTTTCGTGGCTATTTTAGAGTCTGGAGGCCCGAGCTGGGTGTTCTGCCCCTCACTGGCTCTGGGGCACTGACATGCTAAGAGATAATCCCCTGAAATCTTGCCTCTTTCCTGTCCTGCGTGCCTCATGCTAGATTCTTAGCAGATGGTGATTGAAGAAAGCTGAGACCAAAAACGGAATTTATTTTTTTTTTAAGAGTAAGTTCAGGGGCGCCCGGGTGGCTCAGTGGGTTAAGCCTCTGCCTTCGGCTCATGTCATGATCTCAGGGTCCTGGGATCGAGCCCCGCATCGGGCTCTCCGCTCAGCGGGGAGCCTACTTCTCTCTCTCTCTGCCTGCCTCTCTACCTACTTGTGATCTCCATCTCTGGCAAATAAATAAATAAAATATTTTTTTAAAAAAGTGAGTTCAACAGAGGAAGGTGTGAGGTCACCTGCTTTTCTGGCCCACATAGCTCCCTCCTTCCAGACTCTTCCAAGGGGGCAGGGCCAGTTCCTGCAGAGACAGATGGAAAAAGCACAGGTCCCCTTCCTGGGAGGTACGTTCGCCCCTCTCTTTACCACAGACTTGAGTCTGGGGGCACCGGCGGTGTGACCTGCGGTGTTATGGCCATCACTCTCCCCCCTTGTTCTGCTCCCCACCACCCTCGGAAGCCTGGTGGTTAAAGATAGAAGCCTCCCATTTGGCAAATGAGGCCGAGCTGTGTTCCTCCACCCCAGAGAGAAAAGGGCAGGACCAGGACCTTGGCCTCTGCTAGTTGTCCAGGCCAGAGCTCCTGGGTGCCATGGGCTCTGATGTTGACAGTGAGCTGGGGGCAAGGCTGGGTCAGGGCGGGAAGGCTGCAGACTTGGGACAGAAGGAAGCTTGGTTGGCCTGGCAGGTGGACTGGAGGGGACCAGGTAAAGGTGGCCTTTTCCCACAGCTAGGAGGCTCAGGAAGTCGGGAAGGGAGAGGTGGTACCCAAGCAGGACTTGAGGGAAAGCAGGGGGTGAACGGACCACCCAGGGCACTAGAGTGCTGGTAGGAGGGAACCCCAAGGGCCCCGAGAGCTGGGCGAAACACAGGGCCCTTCTCCTCGATGCCCCGTAGCCAAGCAATGGAGACCGGGAGCCCAGAAGCTAAAACCACAGGAACCAGGACCAGACAGATACCGTCAGCTCTTAATTACCACCCTCGCTGGCACCGAAAAGCCCACTCAGGCTCCTCTGTAAATAAACAGCATCTACTTGCCTTCAGGACGTACCCTAGTGCATACGTATTCACAGTGCACGTGTGATCTCTGCTGCTCTCGTTCGACTCACTCCCCCACATGAGAATTTCTGGTGAAATTTTGCCTGCCTTGCATTTGCTTTGGGCTCATACTTGCAACCACCTGTGAGAAGACAGGGAGGAGGTTTAATCCGCATTTGCATGGGCAAAAACTGAGTGGTTCTGTGACTCGTCCAAAGCCACAGCGAGCAAGGGGTGGGATTTGCATGGAACCTGGGGCTTGTGTCCCGGGCCAGGTCTGTCAACATAGCCACTTCTGAAATATAAGACCGCTGAGCTCTTGGAATGGAAGCTTCTGGTGCCCCTCACCCCCTTGTGCCCCCCCTCCACTGGCTAAAGCTAAACCAGGTGGGGGGAGCAAGAGAGGCAAGCTCAGGGGGCTAAGGAGTGGGAGGGCAGGGCCTACAGGGGCCACTTGGGTGGTCTTCCAGTTCAAGGAAAGCTGAACTGCAGGGGGTAAGGGCTGGTCAGAGGATTCCAGAAATTCCCTTTTGGACTACACATGTCGCCATCCAGGTAGGGCCAGACACTTCTGAGGGTCTGTTAGTGCCCGTGCGGCGGCAGATGTCGTCAGACGTTCTGCCCTTTGGGGAAATGGGGCTGGAGTCGTGGCTCGGCGTGTCGGAGGGATGGGAGGGGGCTGAGCAGGAAGGCTGTGCAGAGGCAGTGGCTTTTTTAGGGGGAGTAGAAGTGTGCACTGAGGCCTGGCGGGGCGGAGGGCACCCTCGGCATCTCCCTTTGAGGGAGCCCATGCAGGGAGGGTGTGGGAGGAACTTCAACCTGCACAGTTCCCCCATTTCACAGATGAGGAAACTGAGTCACAGAGACAGAAAGGAACTTCCCAAGGTCAGCCAGCAAGCATAGCTGGGAGTGGAACTTGAGGCTCAGAGCTCCCAGTGTGGGGGCCAGCTGGTAGGGTAGGGTAGTTGCTCTGGAGGTGGGGGGGCTCAGGGCTGAGGGAGGGTGGGCGGCGCTGACCAATGAGGGTCTGACCTGTGTTTGTCCTCCCCAGGGGCGCCCACCCGCGATGTCCTGCTGGTCTCTGCCATCATCACCGTCAGCCTTAGCGTCACTGTCGTCCTCTGCGGCCTCTGCCACTGGTGTCAGCGCAAACTGGTGAGGCTCCTGAACCTCGATGATGGGCCCTACATCCCGCCCCCCACAGTCCCTGGCTCCTGAAGCCTCTCAAGGGCTCCTGACCCATCTGCTCATGTAGTTGGGCCCATTTCCGCAGGAATTGACACGCATGCACGCACTGCATTTGCCTGGGTGCTGGCTCCATGTGTCGTGTGTACACCCAGAACCACACACCCAGGGACACAGTTGAGGACAGACGTGAGTCTCAGGCATTCGCACGCTCGCCACTACAGGCACACACGCCCTGCCCCCTTCCCCCGGAAAGAACCGTAAGCGCGGCCTGAGAACCGGGGCCCCCTCCCACCCCAGTGCCTGGCTCTCCACTGCCCGAAGCCCGCTGTTTCCCCCAACCCAGCGTTGGGCGTGGCCGAGCGGGGTCTCCTGACCAATGAGGAGGCGCCGCCCGCCCCACCCCACCCCCAGCGCCAGTACATCCATCCTGGTTCTTGGGGTTTGTACAAGCACAAACGGCTTCTTTTCATTTTTAACGAGGGCTGGGGAATTAACGAGCAGGATTAGGCCATCAATAAGTAACGAAACCATCAGGAGGGATATTCATCACCGGAAGGCCCTGGAGGAGAAGCCGGGCTGAGCCTCTACCCCGCCCGCATGCAGCCCACAGCTCCCCGAAAGGGGCCCTGGGGCGGGCTACAAGGCTAGACCACCACCCTGCTTCCTCCCCAACCCCCCACCCTCAGTCCTGCTGCCCCAGCCCAGAAGGGCAGTAGGGGACTTTGGGGGCTGCAGTGGGGCACCCCCAAAGGTGGACCCAGAGGTGTCCCAGATGTCGGGCCTTCCCTGGGATTAGGTGCAAAAGCGTTTATGACAGACACCTCTAGTCCCTAGATTGAGAACTGAGGGAGTGGGGCCAGGCGCCCCATCTGAGACCCTCATTCTCTCCCTGCCTGAGACAGAGGGGCCTTAAGGATGAGCAGGGAGGGTTATGGCCCTGGGGACCATGTAGCCAGGTGCTTCAAGCCCCAATCCTACAGAAGATAAGGGTCAGAGAGCTCTGAGAAGGACCCTAGAGGCCCACAACCCAGCATGTCTCCTTCAGGGAAGGCAGACTCAAGAATGGGGAACACGGCTTCCATCCTGGGACGCTCGGTTTCCGGGGCTTCTTCCCCTGGGGAGAAACCATGGAGAAGGCCAGCTCTGCCCCGTGTGTCCCGAGTGTGAGTGTACTGGTAACCAGGCCCTAGCGCACTCTGGGGATGCGGTGCAGGTGCCCCAGGCTGGCCATCCCACATTGTTCCTGGATCCCTGGTGTCTGCATCTGTCTCCGGAATTTCAGGGGCGGTGGAGGAGGGGACTTGGCCACGTGCCCGCGTGTGCGAGCGTCTTCTGAGGCCAGGGGAGGGGCTGAGCGCACACACACACACACACACACACACACACACACGTGCACGCTTGCGCCGCCACCCCGTGTCGGGTCTGTTCCACTGTCTGTGTTCAAGTCCGCATTTGAAGGCTGAGGAAGGTGTGTGAGCAGGCGCTGCCCGTGACCTTGAGTGGGGGTCTGTGTGCTGAGTGGGCCACTCTGAGAGTCCTGGTGCAGTGCGTGTGTGTGCTCATCCCTGCCTGGCGGGGCCGTGCTGCATCTCATCAGGTCTCCTCCTGAGTGAGCTGATAGCCGCTGTCCTGATCTCTCCTGGTGAGTGCTGCAGTGTGTGTGTGTGTGTGTGTGTGTGTGTGTGTGTTGTGGTGAGGGCCTCTCCCCTACCCCACTCACTTGGGGACCAGTGTTCAAAGATGACAGCTTTCATAGCTGGTGGGGGACCCGCCAGTATGGGAGGCACCTCCCCTGACCCAGCCTGTCCTCCCAGCCTCCAGCCAGGGACTTCCCCGGGGGTCCCAGCCGAAGTTGGTCTATGCCACTTTCTTCCCCGAGCTGCCCAGCCCCCCAACCCTACCTCAATTCCTCCCCCACCGCCCTCCATGGGGGAAGCTGGGAGCTTTCTGCCTGGGCTGCCTCTGTGCTTTCCGGGAGGGGATTTCATATGCCCCTTGCACAGTTCCTGGGCCTTCCTTGCCCGCCTGTCCCCTCAGCAGCAGTGATAGTGGTGTGACACCCCGACAGCCCAGATCCCATTTCCAAACATTAATAACTTCCTTAATCTCCAGCTGGCTTTTTCCAGATCAGCCTGGCCAACCCCCTCCCTGAGAAGCCGGCTGATGGGATTGGCTTCCCTTAGAGCCACCCAGGCTCTCCTGGACCCTGCCTGGGTTTCCTGTCATTGCCCCCCCAACACCGACTCAAGTCCTGCCCTGGCTCCTGTCCCCCACAGTCCCGCAGCTCCTGCTGCAGACTGACCATGGCAGCCAGAGGGGAAGTTTCTCTGTGCTGTGGAAGGAAGAGAGGCAGGCCCTGCCTGAACTGGGGACGCCCACCCAGCCATGCCCCCAGCCATACCCCCAGCCATGCCCCCGCTCCAGGAAGGGGCAGCTGACTCCCCCTTAGAAGAAAGTGCTCCCTAGGACAAGTTCTCCTGCCAAGAGAGGAAGAGGAGAGGGAGTAAGTGGTGGGATTGGGGGCCCTCAACCCGGTCGTCCCTGCCGGACACCGCCTGAAGTGAGGGAGATTTGGCGGGGGATGGTGGGGGTGGGGCTTCTTTCTCCCTGTGTCCTGTCTGGAGAAGGGCCCTTGGCCAGCATGGGCAGCTCCAGGCCCTGATTGTCCCAGTCTGGACTAGGCATTACTGGGGATTTGAACTTCTGGGTAATGATGGGAGAGAGCGAAGACAGGTTTTGTGGACTCAGAGGAACCAACAGCTCTGTTTTTTTCACTCTCAAAATTTTGTCTCAGAGGCAACAGGCTGGGGCTGAGACCCCAGGGGACCAGAGCACTCCCAGGGGTCCCATTCTTAGCATCACTGGATATTATCTTCCACACCGAGTCCTAGAGACCAGACAGTCCCTAATGTTTCGGGCTGCGTTCCCCTGGGGGGTGGGGGGTGGGAAGCTCCTGAAGTGAGTCGGGAGAGAACCTGTCCTATCTGTGAGGAGAGCCTGGAAGGATGAGGGACCTGGGGCTCATCCAGTGACAACACCCCTTTTCAGAAGGGAGGGAAGGGAGGTCAGAGAGGACAAGGGACTTGACTAGGGTGACCCGGGGAGGGTGCGGCGTTGCTGGGACCAGGACCCAGGCACCCCGAGACCTGGGGTCGCTGGGGGGAGAGTGAGGAGTCTGCCCCTCTGCCCACAGCATTCTGGGGAGCCCTGCCAGCTCTGCCAGGCTCGCTCCATGGGCCTGGAAGGGGCTGCAGCCAGTGCGACTGTTGGGGACACGGCTGTGTGGCTCTTCGTTTGTTTCAGGGAGGGTAGACTGTCGTGGCCACGGTGTGAGCATAGAACAGGATGGTGGGGAGATGTGTGTGCACATGTAGGGTGTGTGTGTGGGTGTGTGTGGGTGTCTGGGCTGTCACCACCCCACTGCACGCATCAGCCCGGGGCCCAGGCCCATGGCCCGCGGGTGCGCGTGAGGACGCTCGGTGGCAGCCAGGAATGTTAATGGTGCCCGGCTCTGCAGGAGCTAAATTTAGAAACCCAAACCGAGAAGGTGAATGGGGCTCACCTTCCCAGCAGCAGGCCCGGTCCCCACTGCAGCCACGGTCCTTCTTCTCGCCAGAAGACCTAGAGACCCCCCCCACCCCCTGCCTGGCCTGCCCAGCCTTTCCCCCACCCCAAGCTGGTGGGAGGAACTCTGGGGCACGGGCCAAGTTGCCCCGGCCTCAGAGCCAGTGGGCAGCCTCTCTTCCTGAGGCTGCCTTCCTGTAAAGGAGAGTGTTTGGGCCCTGTCCTGCCTCACTGCCCAAGGCAGGAGGACCCCAGGGAGCCCCCAGACAGTGCTGGACCCGGTCCTGGGCCGGACTGGGCACGGGGCCCTCTCCCTGCCCCCACCATTCACGTCACTGGCCACAGCCAACCTTGCCCCTGCAGGATGCCACCCCCACCATCTGGGGGTGGTGACGTGGCCCATATGACGTGGCCAGGCGCCTGAGAGCCGTCTGTCCGTGGCAGAGGGAGGTGTGTTTCTGGGAGTCAGCCCAGAGCCCCAGGAGACAGGCAGAAAGGAGGGGCCCCCTCCCTGGGGGTCAGGGTTGGGGTGCCCTTCGAGGGGCAGAGTCGGTCCTCAGGCCTCATGGGACCAAGTTGCTACCAGAGGGGGAAACAGACAGCAGTGGAGCTGGCCCCCCACGGTGGTGACAGATTCACGCAGGGCCCCTGGTCGTTGTGGCCAAGGCTGAGCCCCAGCCCACTCCCCCTGCCCTCACCCAGGCCCGTGCTGGGGAGGCAGGGAGGGCGCAGTGCTGTCTCCCCGGAGTGACCCTCATGCTGTCTCCACAGGGCAAACGCTACAAGAACTCCTTGGAGACCGTGGGCACGCCAGACTCAGGGCGTGGGCGCAGTGAGAAGAAGGCCATCAAGTAGGTGCCAGGCTTCGAGTTTGGGGAGGGAACATACAGGCAGCCCCACGTGGGAGGAGCCTCCCCGTTCCCCAGAGCTGGCCACACACCCATTCAGTTTCCCCTTCGCACGGGCGCCATTCTCTCTCCCTGCCCCCTGCCCGCACACTCCTACTGCCCCAGGGTGGCTCCGGGCTCCAGCTTTTCTGCCTGTGCCCCACCCCCCACCCCAGACCCTCACAAGGTTCCAAGGACCCCAGCTCCATTTTCCCGCTACTGTCACTTCCCGCTCTGTCTGCCTCCTCCCTCGACCCTGGTTGCCGTTTCCCCCATCTCCCCTCACATCGCAGCCATCTCCAACACGCTCCTAGCCCCTGCTGGGATCCCCTCTCCTGGGGGGCTCAGGCTCTTTCTCTAAGGCCTCACCAGGGTCCTGAGGGTGACCTGGAAGGTGGGCAGACCTCAGTGCTGGGCCACTTGGGAAGCAGAGAGTGGGGACTCTTCCCTTCCCTGTCACTCCCGGTCCCCACGGCCTGTCTTGTTGCCTCAGACTCCCCCAGGCTCCCTGTTTTGCTCTGAGATCCCTCTTCAAGGAGGTGGGTTTGCCTTCCTCAGACCACCTCGGCCAGCCCACGGCAGAGGGTCTCTGGGACACACACAGGGCGGCCCCCACCACCAACCACCCCACCTGGCTGGAGGCTCTGGGAAGGAGGGTTCTCTCTGGAAGGTTCCTCTCTGATGAACCCAGGCCTTCCCTTCCACCTTAGCCTAGCGAGGGCCGAGCCTGCCAGCAAGGGGCTTTGTCTGAAGGGGAGCCGCCCCAACCTTCCCTGACCCCCACTTCCTTCCTGTAACTCAAGGCCTGCACCATCCCCGCCCCACACCTTGCCTTCTGCCCCCTTCCGACATCCTAGTCCCTCCTTCTTGTCTGTGTTCTCCCTTCCCCTTCTCCCCTGCCCCTGAGGGCTTCCTTGCTGTTCCTCCTCTGTTTTCATCTCTTGCTCTGACCCTGTTTGGGGCCTTCACAGAATCTTCCTGGCATGTGCCTTGTGGTGGGGGGGCGGGGGCAAGTGGAGGGGTGGGCCTGCTGAGGTTGGGGCCGGGAGGAGGCCTCGGGGAGCCTTTGAAGTGGTTTGGTTGCAGACTCTCCAGTCGTCAAAGCAGAGAGCTGGCAGGTCTCAGGGGCTGATGCCGAGTGCAGGCCCCGGGCTTTCTAAAGGTGGGGAAGGACCACGTGGGGCCCCCATACCAGGCCCCTAACCCAGTTTGCAGCTGGGCCGGGGCACCTGTCTGCCGAATGACCATAACCTGGGGATGGATATGTTCTAGGTAGTCGTGGAAAGGGCCCGTGAGAGATGGGATGACCAGCAAGGGGGACAGGCTCTGCAGGCTGGGGCAGCACCCTCGAATGTTCTTGAAAACAAAGGGAGGGCAACAGTGGCTGTCCCCTATTTTCTATAGCTGCCGTCTCTACCCACCCTGCTGAGCTACAGAGCCTCTGCCTCAGGGGAGGGAAGCCGCCGTTCAGCATGCCCCTAGGTTCCTAGGCCTTTACCTCTTGCCAGGGCCCGAAGCCAATCAAGTGGCAGGAAGCAGGGCTTACCCATGACACTTAGGACCTCCTCTGAAGGGATCTTTTGTCAAAGATTCTGGGAAGTTGCATTCTTTAGCAGTGGTTCCCAAACTGTGTTCCTCAAAGCACTCCATAAATGATCACTGGTTGTTCCATGAATTCCTGAGGTTTCATGGGTTCCGTGACCAACTAAGTTTGGGAAGCACTGCACACTCTATCCCGCTCTTGGAGATTAGGGTATTCGTTGATACATTAAAGCCTCTGAGAAGTCCTGCAGTAAAGGAACCTGTGTGTCCCAAACTTTTAAAATTAAAGATGGTCTTTTCCAGTACCGCAACGGACTACATGAGGGACCCTGGAGCTCCTTGGAACAGAGGGTGGGAAACCAGCCTGGCAGTGATGACCCTGGTGGCTCTTTCTCTGCAGGACCTAGAATTGGAGGACACTTGATTTTGGAGATCTGGAGGGGCAAGGGGAGGGAGGCTGTCCAACTTGTTCCATCTCTCTGTAACACTGGGGGAGGTGGACCAAAGGATGTCTCTGGCAGGAATAGGGTCTTCTGTCGAGGGACCCTCTCCAGGAAGGGGCCTCCCAGTGCTGAGGGCCTGTCCTGCCTCTCCCACCTCAGCCTGCACTGTGCCTCTCACAGACTGACTCAGGACTTTGGCTTCAAACCCTGTGTACAGAGTCCCTGTGAGACGTTTCTAATGTGCACTCTGGACAGACAGACACTGCCCACACCCCCCTTGGGCCAGGACCACCATCTCCTCTGGGCCTGTGGTGGCCACTCAGCTTCTCTCCTTTGTTCCCAGGTCTGAGACAGAGAACCAAGGTCAAGGTCAAGCTCTGGTGTGGGGTGTGGGGGAGAGAAGCAGGTCCCCCAAGAACACATTTGCTCCATCTTCAGAGGGTGTGCCCCCCCACAACACGGCCCTTGCCTTGGCCTTGAGCAGTGGCACAGCCTCAGCACAGGCCAGGCCCACCCCAACACCTCCTAGGGCCCTTTTCCCTAGATGTGTTTCTGAGGCCTCTGGCATGACTCCCTTCTAGAATGTTCCTTTGGCCTGTTTCTTCTGCCTTTCCTCTCCCTGTGCTCCCAGGCCTGCTCCTCAGGGCCCCAGGAGCCTGACAAGCTGATGGAGCCCCTTGTCTTTGGCTCCTAGGATTTCCAGGCTGTGCCTTCTGCTGGCCGAGGCTTCTGCAGCCAGCCCCCAGCGCAAGTCCCCACATTTTCTCTTCTTCCAGCCTATCTGCCTCATTGGTGTGACTTGTCTCAGAGCAGGAGGGGGTGGGAAGAGTGGGTCAGAGGGTCCCTTCCAGACCTAACAGCTCCATCTTGGAAAGGATCAGGGGCACAGAAAGAGGCTACCCCGGCTGGCAGGTCAGGTACGTGTCAAGGGCCTGGGGCTGAGTCTGCCCATCAACCCCCAGAGAGAAAGGCAGTCTCCCTCCACACAGGCCCCAAAACACTGGACCTGTAGGGCTCCGTATCTGGTCACACCCTCAGCAAGGTCAGAGGCCTGGAGACCCTTCTCTTCTCTGGGAGGTCACCCAACCACCATATCTGCAATGAGGAGCCTATCCTCAGCTCGGCTGAGATCCACCAAGCTCCCGCAGAAGCTGTGTCCTAGGAGGGGAGAGAGCAGAGGAGGCTGGGGGACCTTGGGCCAACGGGAAGAGGAGAAAGATGGGCCAGGAGCACGGCCTGCCCCAGGAGTGGCTCAGTGGAGGTGGATGGAAGAGGAGAGAACTTTGGGTCTCCGCTATGGGAAAACCAACAGCCCAGCGGCTATGGCCAACCTTCTGGTTTCGCAGGTGGGGAACCTGAGGCCAGGAGCAGTGGCCCCCCACACCCCCGCCCCCGAGAAGTTGGCAGCAGGGTCTGATCTACCTTTTAGCTCTTTCCAGCCAGAAACCAGCACCCTCTCCTCCTCCCACTCCCCACGCCATCCTCCCCCAGGCCTATCCCCAGCCCCCTCTCCTCCCCTCCCCTCTCACCATCTTTCTCTCTCCCACCAGCTTCCCGGGGCGCGAGGCTCCAGCCTGCCCACCAGCAGCTCGCCTCCTTTCTGCGTGGCTTCTCCCGGCCCTCGGCCCTCGAGCGTGTGAGCGTGTGCGGGCGCGTGTGTGCACGTCCACATGGGGCGCAGCTGCCCCTCTCTTCCTCCCACAGATGCAGACCCTGGCCCTCTCCGCTCTCTGTGTGCGCGGCCCCGGGGCCCCTGTCCCCTCTGCCCCCGCAGGACTTGCGGTTCTTGTTTCTTCTTGTATCTTCCTGTTTTCTCCCCTCTCTCTCTACCCCTCCAGCGATCTAGACAGAGACTTTTGGAATAACAATGAGAGCACAGTGCAGCAGAAATGGAGCTCCTATCCTCCCAAGGAGTTTATTCTAAACATTTCACCTTACGCCCCTTATGGCGACCCACGACTGTCCCTCAAGTGAGTGACTTTACCTGGTTTGATCCTATGTACCGAGTATCTGCGCACGCCCTCACTTCCCCTCCTGCTCCTGTCCCCGACTTCCCCCAACCGGTGCACCCATGGGCAGGCCGACCATGGAGACGAGCAACCCCTCCTGCCTCCCCTCTCCCTCCCGTTCCCTCCCGCCCCCTCTCCCTTCGACCCCTCCCCATCTCCCAGGGCCAGCGGAGCAGGAGAGCCTCCCTACCCCCCGCAGTGGGTGCCCCGCGGCCCCCACCCCCTTCTCTGTGCAGTCAGGATGGGGTTGCCCGTTTGGTCCCTCCCTCTCGGTGTGGCTCGCTTTCTCCTCCCTGCTGTGTGCCGCTGCCCAGGCTGCTCGGTGGTGGTGGTCGGTGGTCGCGGTGTGGTCGGTGGTTGCGGTGGCGGTGGTCGGTGATGGCGGTGACGGTGGTGGGGGTGATGAATTCTGACTAACACGGCTTTCTCTTTCTCCCTGCCTTGGGGCCTCCTGGCCTGGACAGCCCGCTCTTCCTCCGTCGTTAACCCTTCGTTGTCCTGTGGGATAGAGTTGGAGGTGGCTGCCCTCCCCCCACCCCCGCCGCCCCTGCCCCAGGCGGTGGGGAGGGGCCGCCCCTCCATTGTCGTGGTGCGTTGTTCTCCGACCCCAGCCCGCCCGGCCCCCTCTCTCCTCTCTGCAGGCTCCGCTGTTCACCAACTTCGCAGTGCTGATGTGTCTCTCTCTCTCTCTGTCTGTCTCTTGTCCGTCTGTCTCTCTCCTGCTCTCTCACTGTCTCTTTCTTCCTTTTATCTGTCATTGTTTTCCTCCCTCTCCCACCCCCACCCCCGCGTGTGGCCCGCCCTCTCCCCCCCACCGCCACCCCCGGCGCCCCTCTGGCCCGCGCGCCTCAGTGGCACCCTCCTGTCGGGCGCCAAGGTGGCCGCTGCGGCGGGGCTGGCGGTGGAGCGGGAAGGCCGGCCGGGGGAGAAGCCAGCACCGGTGCCGCCACCCGGAGAGGACGCCTTGAGAAGCGGCGGGGCTGCCCCCAGCGAGCCGGGCAGCGGTGGCAAGGCGGGGAGAGGCCGCTGGCGGACGGTGCAGAGCCACCTGGCCGCAGGGAAGCTCAACTTGTCCAAGTGAGTCATGGCCCTGTGGCCACCGGAGCCGGAGCCGTGAGCTCGGGCCGGCCCCCCGCCAGCGGGGACAGCGGGACCCCCCCGGCACGCCCGCTGCTGCCCCCAGAGGTGCCGTCCTCGGCCTCTGGCTCATTCCATTCCTTCACAAGACACACATCATCCTCGCCATCGGGCGCAACAGCCATACCGTGTCGCATCCCAGCCTCCGGCTGCTGCCCCCATCAGTCTCTTTGCTTGCCAGTGACCAAGCCATTCCATTTTCTGCCCCCGAGGCGGCTTCATTTCAATCCTCAGGTCATCCCATCCTCTTTGACTGGCCGCCCCATCCCAGCTGTCAGGTCATCCCTCTGTGGGCCACCCGTGGTCGTTCAGCCATCGGACCATCCCATCCCTGGGGAGCTGGCCCACTCAGCCTGTGTTTGATGCCACTCACCAGCCTTCCCCCTTACAGCCGGCAGGTGGCTCTAGACCCAGAGGCTGAGCCATTCCATTTCTGACCATTAGGCACCTCCATCGGCTTGTCCCACTCTTGCTCGCACCATTCCCCCGTCTGTCCTGCGGGCCCACCCTGAGCAGCTGGGCTGTCCCCATGGGGCCATCCTCATCTGAGCCATCCCCATTGGCTGTCCCGGTCTTGGGCAGTGAGCTGTCCCACTGTCAGCTGGTGGGTGGTGTGTTCTTGGTGGTTGGGTTGTTGAGCGCCCCAGCTAGCTTCTCTTTTCTGACGAGGGTGGTCTGGATGTCAGACAGAAGAGCCATTTCCTTTTTAAAAGCTCTCTGAGCTTTCCAGACAAGACCGTCCCTCTCTTGGGCTGCGGACATAGGGCTGGCCCCTGTTCACAGCAGAAAGTATGTTCTCTCCTCCCCCACCATGGGGCTGCCTTATTCTCATCTTGGCTTTTAGAAACTTCCATTTCCCCACAGCTGAGCCTTTCCAGGCTCTAAATCCTTTGAACTATGACCATTCTGACCCGTTGGGACGTACGTTCCATTTTCAGCTGTTAGAACTGCCTCACTCCCAGCTAAGGGAGCAGACAGCCTCTCACTTAGAAGACTGGCAGCCCTGACCCCTTCTTAGCTGGGGGCTGTCCTCTTGCCTCCATTCAGCACCGCACACACACCCCGCCCTGGTTCTCTTCAGAAGGCCTATGATTCCTGCTTTGGGACCACAGAGGGCCACTGTGCCGAGACCTTATTGCTTGTTGGCCTGAAGGCACACAGGCTGATTTCTCCCTTGAGCCTCAGGAACGTCTCGGAGGGAAGCCCCACACTCCCCGGAGAGCCAGGCCCAGCACCCCGCCCTCCCCAGCCTGCTCTGGCCACAGACTCCAGGCTGGCTGAAGCCTCCATGCCATCCTCTGGCTCCAGGCCTGGAGGCACCAATTTTAGTTTCCTGTGACTGAGAGGTTGTAAATTGGACTAATTTTGGATGTGATAGGAAACCAAAATGAGGTCAGCAAGGAGGAGGAGGAGGCCGTCCAAGTGTCGTCCTCCCCTGCCTCCACCTCCCCCACCCCACCCCCCAACAGGGAGCTATGGGCCTACCTGGTCTGACCCTGGTGGTAACCCGGGCTGCAGGCCCGAGCTGGGCAAGACTGCTGCTCCCTCCAGGACCCCAGCTCCCAGCCAAAGCCATGTTTTGCCTCTCTCTCTCTCTCTCTCCTCTCTCTCTCGTTCTCTCTCTCTCATTCTCTCTTTTCTATTCTCTGACTTTCTCTCCCTCTTTTGCTCTCCCTCTTTTTCTCTCTTTCTCTCTCTCTAGCCCATAGGGGCAGCCTAACTGTTGTCCTTTGCTTCCCAGGGTAGGCTCGGGGGGAGCAAAGCTGAGGTCTGGTTGCAGTGGTGAAAGCGGTTCCAAGGGCCCTGGAGCCCCTCCCACAGACAGCCCGGCCGGGGAGGCGGGGAGGGGGGACATGGCTGCCCTGTGGCCCTAGACCAACAGTTGGCAAGCTTTCTTTATAAAGGGTCAGAAAGAAAATCTTTAGGCTCCACAAGTCACATAGTCTCTTTCATGCCGACTCAAACCTGTCACAGCCATAGACAGGATGTAAATTAGTGTGTTCCAGTAAAACTTTATTTACAAAGACAAGTGGTGGGCCAGATTTGGCCCACAGGCCACAGTTTGTCAGCCCCTGCCCTTGACCACTAGATTGGGAGACAGAGGGAGGGGACAGAGGAGGAGGCTGGGACCTATGAGGTTCTGGCCCTGCCTGTGGGATGTGCTCATGTCTCTGGCCAGGGGAATGAAGCAGGCAGGTTGCCTGGGGAAGCCAGGGGTCTCTGACTCTTCCTACCTCTGTCTCCTGAGACATTTGCAGGTACCCCTGGCATGGGGAACCATTAACTAATACATGTCCCCGGGCCCAACCTCACTGGGTCCCCATGGCAACCTTGGGACAGAGGCAGCTCAGGGATGATTTCCGCCCAGGCTTTATGAAGACACTCAGATGAAGAAACTGAGGGGTGGGCTCGCTCTTCCACAGTCCCGTGGTTCGGAAACAGCAGAGCTGGAGCTTGAGCCCAGGTTCCTCTGACCTCATCCTGCCTCTGATCAGCCGTGTCCTGCTTCCTGTCTGTCCCTGCCCCCTTACCAGCATTTTTCAGGGATGCCGGTGGGCCTGCTAGGAGGGCGCCCTCTTGCAAATGCATAGTCACCCTGTCCTCCATCAGAATTGGGGCAAAGTGACCAGACAGGTGGTTCCTGGGGCTCCCACCTCATCTGATCCTTTCCCAGGTTCCCTCCTCTGACTGGGAGTCACTCCCAAGAAATCAGGAAGGGACACTGCACCTCAGAAACAAGGAACCCTGGAAGGAGGGCAAAGGTCTGCAGTCCTGAGGCAGCCAGGGCAACCAGGCAGAGGCCCAAGGACAGAGGGTGTCCGGGGACAGTCCCCAGCCTCTGTGGCCCAAGCGTAAGAAAGGCCGGCTCTCCCTGCCTCGTCACACGTTACTAGGCCAGCTCTGCATTGGCCTGGATTTCCTCATGTCTCCAAAGGCCATTCGTACTTAGATCACAGAGGCAGACTTTCCTGGGGTCCCCCAGCAACACGGCGGGAGGGAGCGGCGGCTGCTCCCTCCTCCCCCTGCCGTTCCAGCACACCAGGTCCAGGGCCCTGGGGCCGCCTTCACCACGCAGCCTGCACAGCTCCCACGGTCTGAGAGGCGTTTGTCCGCCAGCCAAGCTAAGGCCAGAGGGTGGGGTGGGCTGGGCAGGGCCAGCCCAGGGGTGGTGGTGGGGGCGGGCTCAGGGCGGGCACGGGGCTCGGTGGCCTCCCGGGTGAGGTGGTAGCAGCTACGGCGCGGCAGCGACAACCGGGATGGAGGCCCCGCGAGGTCCGGCAGAGCGCGCCCTGCACTGGGGCCTCCTAGTCCTGACCCTCGGCTTCTTTCTCCTCCACTGTGATCCCTTCACCTGCTTCTCCTTTCTCTCCTCTCCTCCACCCGCCCCAAGTTTCGAGGACTCCACCCTGTCCACGGCCACTACCCTTGAGTCTATCCCCAGCTCCACGGGAGAGCCGAAATGCCAGCGACCCCGCACCCTGATGCGGCAGCAGAGCCTGCAGCAGCCGCTGAGCCAGCACCAGCGGGGCCGGCAGCCCAGCCAGCCCACCACCAGCCAGAGCCTGGGCCAGCTGCAGGCCCACGCGGCCTCGGCGCCGGGCCCCAACCCCCGGGCCTATGGCCGGGGCCAGGCTCGGCAGGGCACCTCCGCCGGCTCCAAGTACCGGGCGGCCGGCGGCCGCAGCCGCTCCAACCCGGGCAGCTGGGACCACGTGGTGGGGCAGATTCGAAACCGAGGCTTGGACATGAAATCCTTCCTGTAAGTCCCCCCCTTGAGCGGGCCGGCCCCCACCTCCTAACCCAGCCTCTCTCCCCTCATCTCCTTGGGGAACGGCTGGCCCTCTGTGGCCCCTCTGCCTCTGAGGCAGGGTGCCCAGCAGACTCGGCCCACCCCTCCCCAGCCTCCTGTGGCTCAAGGCTTGTGCCTGAAGCCCCCCATGGAAGGATTCTTATCTGGGCCGCCCCTGTGAAGACCCCAACTCCCCCACTTACGTTCCTCCCAGGGCTCGGAGAAGGTCCCCCCCACCCCCCGCTAAAAGTCATCGGGGACACTGGACAATGCCGGTGAGGCCGCCAGGTCTGCCTCCCCTTCCGGCTAGTCCCAAGCTGCTCCCGGCCTCCCTGCCAGCCTCCTCCCCTCCTCCCAAACCTGGGCTCGGGCCCTGCCTCCAAGCCTCCAGATCACCCCTTCCCTGTAACCTGACTCTGCTCACCTTCCTGCGCCCACACTTCCTCCCTCCCTCTCACTTCCCCTGTTCCTGCCATCAGCCCTGTCCTCTGCCTCTCTGACCTTCTACAGCCACCTGTCCTCCGGCTCCCAGAATGACCCATCCCCTGAGGACAAACCTCAGATGTTCCCCCCAAAGCTTTAGGAAACATTCTTTCTAAATCAGAGGCTTCTTTCAAGTGCACAGGCCTGAGAAGTAACCACTCACCTTGGGCATCTAACTGCAGCCATTCCTCATCTTACCCCAACCCAGTCCCGTGCTGGCCCCCTGCCCCCACCCTGTCACAGGTAGGAGCCCTGCCCACCTCGCATTCCCTCTCTCTGGCATCGCTCTGGGCATCTGCACTCACTCTCGGAGCCCAGGCAGACCTGGGCTTTGGTCCCTGATATCACTCGCCTCCTCTGGCCTAACATGACCTTCCTTCCAGGCTCTGGGGATTATTTCCATCGCCCAGGTCTTCCCTGGGAGCACTTTTCATGGAGCAAGAGACCAGCACTAAGCCTGGGAGAGGAGAAAGGGAGGAGGAAGGGGAAGGCCAAGATCAAGGTCCAGCTCATTGGCAAGATGGTGGGGATTCTGAAGGCAAGCAGGTCCCTGCAAGCTTCCTACCTCTCCAGCTGAGACCCCAGCCCAAGCTTCCAGCGCAGACAGGAGTGCTGCCCCTGGCAGAGGCACCCCAACAGAAGAGGCCTTGCCATGCCAGCTTCCCACACCTGTGCAAATGGCCCGTTGCCCTGGCCTGGCTGTCCATGCTGCCCGTGCCCTACTTGGCCCATCCAGGCAGCACATCTGCTGGGGCTTTCCCCCACCCAAGGACCCTTGGGAATCCAGCTGGTGCCTGAATGAGACAGGATGCCCAGCTGAGCCTCCTGGCTTCCAGGCTGCGGTTGGTTTGGGGACGGATATGATGGCACTGGCGCAGATTAGGAGAGTCAGGGGAATTGGTTCTTCTGCGACTTGAACAGAACTGAGAACCGACAAGCCCCTGCACCCCTCCACTCCTCCTGCCCTCCGGTTGCTCTTCACACAGCTCTCACCCTGCTATCTGTTCTAGCAGCCATCAGAACTGGGGTAGGAGCCATCCCCAGGCCCTGGGAAGAAGGGAGCCGGCTGCAGAAAAGCCTCTGTGTACCGACTCTTCCCTGCCCGCTGTGCCCCTGCTCGACTGGGATTTGATGAGTGGCACTGCTGGGCCAGCATCCACTGTCCACACTGCCATGCCCACCATTGCTTCATGGGCCCCTCGCCTGCTGGTCACCACTAGAGATCACCCACCGCCCCCCTCCTCCACTTGTCATTCTTCCCAGCAGGGGTCAGCAATTTTTTTTTTCTGTAAAGGACCAGATTATAAATATTTTAGGCTTTGTGGGGCACGTGGTCTCAATCACATTTTTTAAAGCAATGCTTTAAACACGCATAAGCCATTCTTAGCTTGCAGGCTGTAGAAAGCCAGGCCACCAGCTGTACTTTGCCCACCTCTGACCTCCGCCTTACAGTTTAGCTGGTGTGCTTGTGAGGCCCTTCTCTTGCCCCAGATGCTGCTGGTCTAGGGAGATAGCCAGGGTGGGAGGGCTAGCCAGACCTCCCAGGATCCCACCCCCTCTTGCAGGAAGGATGGTGTTCCTCCTGCTTAATGGGTGTGACCCCCCCCACCAATACCACCAGCTTCTCCCCAGACTCTCCTCCTGCCCCTCGTTCTCACCCTTGCAGCCTGTGTTGCTGGAGAGAATGACAAATTGGGAATTTATGCAGAAGAGCCGTTTTGTTTTCAAGACGAGCAAAAGGAGTATCTGGAAAATGCATTAACCAGGGAAAAACATGTTGTTTTCGTTGGGTTCTCCTTCCCCCAGCTCCACCAGCTCCCAAGCAGCCAAATGGAATTTTACCAACTCTGAAACAGTACTGGTGGGCAGAGAACAAAGAAAACGAGGATTTGTCCTGAGGGAAGGGGGAGTTGTTACCCAAAAGTTATATGCCAGCGGGAGTGTCAACCTGGAGTAATGTGCCCAGGACAAAGATGTATGACCTCGTAGGCAGTGCAACCACTTGGCTTCCTCCCCTCCCCGGGGCCCCACTGCCATCTCCCATTTTCCCTGAGCCCAGCCCCCCGCCCCCCAGGTGCCACGTGTCACCTGCTTGAGTTCCCTTCTGACAACCTCTCTAGGAAATAACCAAAGCTGCCTCTCCCTGAACGGGATAACGGTGGTTGAAGGGCAGATCTCCCCACCCAAGATCCCCCTCTCCAGAATATCTCATCAGGCTTACCATCCTTCCCTTGGCCCTTCCTGAGACATGCTTTCCTCCTCTTCTTTTGGATGAGAGACCCAGAGCTGGATAAGCTCCACAAAATACCCAGAAAATGCCCATGAACTCTGATGATTTTGTGGGGCAGCAGGTCACTTTCCATCCCTGGAAAATGCAGGGTGACTCCGCAGTTGCCACGGAGCTCTCTGAGAATGCCGCCTATGAAAAACGTCACACCTTGACCTCTGGCTCCACGCTGCTACCCACATGCCAGCTCCTGGTCTGCCTGGACTGAGGCAAAGCAGAATGACTCCAGCCTCTTCCAGACCTTCCTCATTGCAGAAACAGGCTCCCTCCAGACCTGGCCAGGTCCCTGCTCTTTCTCTCTCTCCACCTTTGCTTTTTGGTGACTTCTGGACTGTTTCTCCAAGGAAAGGCCCTGAATTGGACTCAAAAGCCTTGGTGGTTTTTCCCTGGATTTCCAGGAAGGGGGACTCAAAAGAAGGCCCATGATGGCCAGCACACCACAAACCAGAAGGGACTTCCATTCTCCTCTGACGGGCTGTGTGTTCAGGGACCCCTCCTGGTGTCAAGGACATCTGGCTGACCATGACCTAGAGATGTCTTAATGAGGGTGCAGCGCCCACTGGATTTCCAGACTTTCTAAGAACCTCCCACCTGGGAGCCCAAACCTGCCCGCCCTTCCCAAAGCAAGATGGCAATGGAGCCCCTCCTTCTTCTCCCAGGGGCCCAGCGTAAAGCCTCTGGCCTTTGTTCAACTGGAGATGAGTTCTCCTTGGAAGTCGGAGTGCCCCAGGGCATATGCTCCCCCCATCCCCTGGCCTCCCCCAACCCACCCCTGCCAGCCTTCCTTAACAGTTTCCTCAGCAGTGTCCTGGGCACATGCCCCTTCATTGGGCTTCTGCCCAGCCCCTTCCCCAAGTCTTTCCAGAGCACCTTGCTCCCTGACCCCGAGGCAGGCAGGGTCTCAGGCCGTGGACACCTCCCCTCATTCCCTCCCTCCCCACGTCCACCCTACTCTGCTCTACAACTGTTGACAGTGCTAAAGTGTGTGGTTTCTCTCCTGCAGGGCCAGTTTCTTACGCTTTTTTCTTCTCTCTCTTTGTCTCTGTCTCTGTCTCTGTCTCTTTCCCCTCCCTGCCCCAACCCGTGGGGCCTCCTCGTTTCCTCCCGGCTGGTGGGCTGCCCACCTCGGGCAGGGAAGGCAGGATGGTGGTGCTATCCTTGGTCTTAGGGCTTTCGGAACAGGATGACTTTGCCAATATCCCTGACCTGCAAAACCCAGGAACCCAGCAGAACCAGAACGCTCAGGGGGACAAGAGGTACGAGCACAGGCAAGGGCCTGCAGCGGCAGCGGCAGAGATGGAGGCGTGGAGAGGCTGCCGGCCTCCACCAGCCCTGGCCCGGCTGTTGGATGAGGCGGCGGTGCCCTCAGCGATCCTGGAGCGGGAGAACGGCCCCCTCCCCAGCTGGCGCCCTCACACACGCCACACCCGGGTGTCCCTTGGGTCCGAGGCCAGTGTGGCCATCCTGGGACCATTCTGGATCAAGCCTGCTCCCCAGGCATGCTTGCCCTCGCCCAGAGCAAGCCCGCCTTTCTGCCCCATCTCCCTGCTTCGCTCCCTCCTCCCTTGCTGCCCCTCATCTTCCATCTCTGCCCCACCCCCGACCTCGAAATCCCAGTTTCTCTGGTGGTTGGTGGGCAGGGGGGATGTAGCGAAGGGGCACCAGCCTCTTCTCCCTCATCCCCACCACCTCAACCTCCCTCTTGCCTGGAGGTCCCGCTGGGGTGAAGGTAGCACCCCGTCACCGCAGGGGTACTGCACAGGTGTGGCTGAGCTGCTTGGCTGATTGAAGAAGAACCCCTGGTGGGAGGGTGTGGGGTGTGGAGAGGCCTGGTGACCAGAAAGAACTGAGAGGCAGCCCTGAACCTGAGGTACCAGGAGGAGGGACTAGGGGGAGGGTCCGAGAGCAGGCCGCGGGTGCCGGCTAGGCTCCCTGTTTACACAGGCCAAGAAGAGGGCTGGGCATTTAGCCATAGTCTTGACCATGAGGAACTCAGGGAAGCACCTACTGGTATCTCCTGTCTCAGAGAGGGCGTGGAGCACTTATGGGAAAGGAAACCGGGCAAGGTCGGAGGCTTGGGCAGCGCCACCAAGGTGGAGGGAGCCTGCCCTTGGGTGGCTGCCGCCTGGCTCCTGGCCTTGGGCTGGGCCAGATGCACAGCTGTAGTCGCAGAGGGAGGGCTCCTCACCTCAGTTGGGTCTGCTTCTCGACAGGACCAAATGCCTCCCAGAGAGCATGTGGGCTGATGGCCAGGATGCCGGCCTTCTAGTTCTGGTTGTGGCAGAGACACGTTCTACAGACGTGGGCCAGTCACTGCCCCTCTCTGAGCCTCTGCTTCCTTGTCTGTCGAATGGAGGACTGGAAAGGGTGACCCCTTCCAGCTTGGGCATGCGAAGCTTCTCATAGACACTCAGGCGGGGGGCACCTGTCAGAGCCTGTGAACTGGGCAGGGATCCTGACATTCCCTGAGCCCCTTAAGGCAGGAGGGGACTGTCCCAGGCCACCACCAGGGGCCTGTGGGTTATGGAAGGATAGGTCAAGAGTTAGCGAACTGCCTGTCCCTCCAGCAGCTTCTCGCATTTTCTTCCTATTCCAAGTTCACTGTTGAATGTCTATGGTGGACACAGTCAGAAGTTCCCAGAGAGTGGGAGGGAAAAGCGGGACGGGTTCTTTCACTCAGTGGCACAGATGGTATCACACCCGAGCCCATGTCCTGGGGGGATGGGGTGGGAGAAACAGAGCCTACCACCTCCAGCCCACCTGGCACCCCAGGAGTCCTGGACTGGGTCCTGGGTAGGCTAGAGTGCTGCGGGGAAGGGGCCAGGGGCCATGGGGGAGAGGAGGCAGGAGGGGGCTGGAGACCTCTGGAAGCCTGCTGAGAACCCGAGCTCCTTGTCGGGGGAAAGCGTGAAGTGTGCAGGAGGCGACGCAGGCTGGAAACGAGATTTCACATCACCCCTGTGTTCATTAGCTGGCTCCATTTCCACGCACAGCCTCTTTTTACCTCTGCCATGAAGGTCTCCCGCCCGTATTCTAACACGCCCATCCCTTCTGACCATTACATCAGCTGTCCCTGCCTTCCTGGGAAGGGTGGGTGTGGAGGTGGAGGCCATGGGCCCTCACCCCCAACCCTGCCTAACTCTCCGGGTGGACACATGCCATTCCCACCCTGTCACACCCACCCCATCCATCTCAGGGCCTCTGGGGTGTTTCCCAGGCGACTGGGCGCTGAGAAGGTGTCTGGCACTGAGGGCTTCCTTCCCAGAACTCTCCCTGGCCCCAGGCTTGGCAGCATCCCACCAGGCTCCCAGCACCTTAGGGCTCCACTCCTCTAGACTCCTGGCTCTTTGGACCTTGGCATGGTGGGCTTGGGTCATCCGTCCCTTTCTCTTCAGCTTCTCCCTCCAGACCCAGAGTCTGCCCTTCTGCCCCGATCCCCCCACCCTTTCCCATCCAGCTGACCCCTTGGCTGTCCTTGGGGAGGACTTTCAGCGCCCAAGGTCTGTCAGCAGCAGGTCCCTGGGCGACAGGAGGGCCCCGGGAAGAGGAGCAGCCATTCCAATTCCCAAACAAGGTAGGGGTGCGTCTAGTGAGCAACATGGAGATGGGAAGGTTGGTCACTACCTCCCTCCCAGGATCCTTGGTGGCCCGGAAGTCCCCCATCCAGGATCTCCCAGTCCCTTAGCCTCAGTTCTGTGGGCCCCAAGAACAGAATGCTGTTGGACCCGGGAGGGAGGAAGGAAGGAGGCCAGGACTACCCCTGGCCCCCGTTCCCCGCTGCCTTCACCCATCCTGCCCTGCATCCATGCCCATGTCATGTTCCCTGCCATCCCTTCCATTGCTCCTTGGGATCCGAATGGTGTCCACCGTGGCCCCACCCCCACCTGAGTGGGGCGCGGGGCAGGGCAGGGACCTGGCCACCCCCATCGCTCTCCTCGCCCCAAAACCACCATGTTTCCTCTGTCCCGGTGTGTGTCCCCCGCCTCCTCTCTGCCTCTCCTCTCGGCCGCCTCGCTCGTCCCCTTGTGCACCCTGCAGCCTTCTTCACTAGTCTTCAACTAACCTTTCTTGGCCTCTCTCTCTCTCTCCCCGTCTCCTTCCTCCCATCTGCTCCTCACAGGGATGTCCCTGGGCCAGTGACGGGGCCCCTCCGCCTCTCCCTCTGCCTCTCTGTGCACTTGTCTCTCTGTCTCTCTCTGTCCCGTGACCTCCGGTAGCTTCAGTGGCGCTGACCATCTTCCCAGGCTGCTTTGCAGCTGTGCTGATGCTGTGGTGTGGCCAAAATAACTCTGACTTTCTCATACCTTCAGCAGTCAATCTGGCGCTCTCCTCCTGTCCCACTCTATTTTTAACCTGACTTTACCTCTCCAGCTATTTCAGTGTCCTCTTTCCTCCCCATGCCTGTCTGCGTGCGCACGTGTCCACGAGTGTGTGTCCCTGTGTGTGCGCGCGCGTGTGTGTGCATCGCTGTGGCCGCACTTCTGGGAGGGACCCTGGGGTGGCCCCAGGCAGGGCGGGGTGTCTCGTGCTATCTAGGCAGGGCTGGGTTCTCGCAGCAGGTGTGTGCGCGTCTGATTCGCAGGGTGTCTGTCCCTGACCCGGCTCCCTGCTCTTGCCCATTTCAGCCGGTCCCAAGTCCCACGCACACCTCAACATGCCTGGGTCTCCCTGGATGTTTCCTCTCGGGATCTAAGTGTGCATCGCTCTGTGTGTGTCATCTCACTGCTGTGGTTGACCTGCCTCGTTGCTGTGCCCTTCTCTCCCGGGTGCCCCCGGGTGTCTGTCGGGCTTGTGTGCACTAGTGTGTGTGCGTGCGCACGTCCGCGTGTGTGCACGCGCATGTGCACACCTTGCTGTTGGGTCCTGGTAACTCCCCTCCAGGGCGTGACAGATTCCGTGCATGTCTGTCTGCCTGTCGTGGCTAACTGTGTGCCAGCGGCTGATCCGTACCGAGGATGTGTGTCTCACCCGCGTGTGTCCCCGAGTCTGAGGCTCTGGGACTCTCAGAGCTGTTCTCTTGCAGCCTGTCCCGAGCCCCACGCTGCCGGACTTCTGTCTTTTCCTTGCTGCCCGCCCCACCTATCCTCCTCATGAGATGTTCCAGCCTGGTCCCTGGGCAGGCTTATAGTGCCCCCTTCCTGAGCCCCAGCTGGACAGAGCCTGGGCTCACCACCCAGCTGCCGGGCCAGAGAGCCCAGCTTCCCAGGAGCAGCATGGAGTCGGGGTGCACACAGGGCCTCGCACGGAATGGTCAGATCCGGGGCTTCTCGGTGGTGCCCCGTCTCTCTCTGACCCTGGGTGAGAGCCGTATCCCACGCGCAGTCCTCAGAGCGGGAGACGGGTGGGGACTGGGGAGCAGGGGGCGTAGACTCGTCCCATCCCACAGGTGGCTGTTTCAATCTAAATTAGTTTGAATCGAACGACACAAAATACTCTGCTCTCAGTCGCACTGGCCACTTCAAATGCTTAGTAGCCACATAGGGACAGTGCAGACATAGAACACGGCTGCCATCGTAGAAAGTTCTACTGGCCAGAGCTGTGTGGGCAGTAGTCCTGACCTCACCTGGTCATTCTTGGGTCTGAAGGGCACCTGCGTTCTCAGGCTGAACAAACACAGGCAGGGCCTCTGGGAGATAACACCCCAGGCGTGTCTGCAGAGGGTAATGACGCAGGGGGTAACCTGGACATGCCGGGGAGCCTCCTCTGCCAGGCTGGAGTGATGAGGGCTGCCAGGGGCGCGCTCAGAGACCACCATGCAGGCAGTGACCGGATGGTGGGGGGCTTCCTGGGGAACAGGAGGAGTGGGAGTACCCACAGGGGCAGTCTACCTGGATCGCGCTTAAGTGAGGGAGATGGGCCCCGGGCACTGTCTGAGGGAAGACCAGCCCTCCCTGCGGACCAGAGCGTAGCTCCTGCTGGCCTACAGGACGTGGTGGCTGCTTGGGTCTCAGAGGACGTGCCGCTGCCACCCCGGCCAAGGTGCCCAGCCCAGCCCACCTCCCAACTTGCGCTCATTTGGATTCCCCCCGCCTCCAGGTTGCCCGCAGGAGGGAAGGCAGTGAACACAGCCCCGGTGCCGGGCCAGACACCCCATGATGAGTCTGACCGCCGGACTGAGCCGCGTTCCTCCGTCTCGGACCTCGTCAACTCCCTCACCAGTGAGATGCTCATGGTGAGAACAGCAGGGCGCTGGGGCTCCAGGCAGGAGCTGAAGTGGGAGGCTGGGGCCGGGGAGGGGATGCGTGTGACAATTGGTGACAGCGTGGGAGTTGTCCACTCGGGTACGGGTACCAGCATGGTGACTGAGTGAGCAAGGCTTGGGTTCTTTGTTCAGCTTTTTCCCCAGAACAGGCTCTCTGTGCCTCAGTTTCCTCATTTGTCCAGTGAGAATAAGAATGCCCATGTTCCTCTCGTCTCTTTCTGGTTGAGTAGGGGTCCAAGGAAACCTACTCATGGGAGGTATTTTTGTGATCCGTAGGAGGAAAGGCTTGGGGCAGACTAGGTCCCCTCTCTTGGAGCAGTGTCCCACTGAAGGGAGGTCTGAGCTGGCGCTCCTGGTGGAGTGGGGCTCATTTTCCCTCTCTCAGGGACCTCCCTTTAGCCCCCATTGCTGGGGACCAGCTGGGGCTCAAAGATAAAAGAAGAATACGACCCCCCCAGGTCCTGATTGCTGGGACTGTGCTGAGGGTCTTCTGTGCACACCCCGCTCCACGGGGCTCCCAGCCCTATGGATCTGGGGCGTTTCCACCAAGGCACCTAGGCCTCACCCCCTGGTGGCAGCAGTGAGTCACGGCCATGTGCCTCACCTGAGGTGGGGGATGAACCCAGGGTGAGGACGCCATGATGGGGCAGCCTGTGGTTTGCAGGTGGCAGTCAATCAGGGCTTTGTCAGCTCACAAGTCCCAAGGAGGCTTAGGGTCTGAGGTTGGGGAAACTGATGCCTGCTGTGTTCCTACTGGCCGTGACTGGAGACAAGTAATTTCTGCTCCCTGGACCGAGGGTCCCTCCCCAGTCCTGTAGAGCGAGGGAAGCCAGTTTGTGGGCTCTCAAGCCCTTGCTGGACATCATTCAGTTCAGAGTTCCTTGGCCCAGGCCCTGGCATGGCAGCTGCCACGCTCCCCTGGGGCCCCAGAGCCCCTCGGCCCCACCCTTCCGCCAGTTAGGATTCCAGCCAGCTCCACCCATCCACCCCCACTGCCCCTTTTTTTGCCCAGAGATTTTCAAATTATAATAAGCACATGAATCATTGGGTGAGCTCGTAAAAATGCAGATTCCCATGGGGCGCCTGGCTGGTTTCCGTTAGAAGAGTCTGCAGCTCCTGATCTCGGGGTCATGAGTTCGAGCCCCATGTTGAGTACAGAGATGACTTGGACACATATAACTATTTTCAAAAATGCAGATTCCCAGTCAGCAGGCCTGCAGTGGTCCCTCAGATCTGCATTTCTCTTGGATGCAGACTCAGGCGTCAGATTTTCCCTGTTCCAGAGCTGATTTCCCCTGGGCCTCTACCTGCCACCCCCCACCATAGGCCCCTGCGTGCCTGGCCCTCCACTGCCCTCTTGTCTGTCTCTCCCACCCACATAGGTGGGCCCAGCCATGCTGTCCTCTGGATGGGCCAGGCCACAGCCCACCCTGCCTCCCTGCCCAGCCTCTTAATTGGTTACAGCTTCCTGACAGTTAGGTTCCTAGAAGGAACAGTCCATTCCCAGCCAGCTTGCCTGCTGCTTGCTGCCCCCAGGGAGGAACTGACAGCCTCAGGCAGAGGAAGGAAGTGTAGGCCCCAGGGCCCACTCACAGGCTTCAGGGCTCAGCTGATGCTCAGAGGGGAGCAAGCAAGGTCTAATGGCCCAGCCCCAGGCGGAAGACAAGCAGGCCCCAGCCCGTCAGAAGCTGGGGGTCAGGAGTCAGTGCCCACAGCTGGCCAGAGGAAGGGACTGAGGGAGAGGGGTCAGACAGGAGGCCAGGCCACACCCCCATCTAAGTCACCCTAGCCCTGACTTGTTTTTTGATACTTGCTTCTACTGGAGCGGGGGCTCCCGCCGCTCCTCTACTGGAACCCTGCTAGGGGTGGCCAGTCTGGTTGCCATGGAAACAGCTCCTCAAAGCTGCCCTGGCTGGTTAATTAGGGCTTGGGACTGTGGTTTGGGAAAGCTGGGAACAGGCATAGAGCCAGGCCCAGCTTGGGCCTCTCACCCCAGACCACCTGGTTTGGGAACCTAAACCACTCAGTTTGGGAACTAAGACCTCAGACAGGGCTGGGGTCCCCTGGGCTCCAGTCACCAGGGACTCCACCCAAACTACAGAAGGAACAGGAGGGCCAAGTGGTCTTTGCTGGCTCTGTCTACTCATGCATGCCCCAGGCTCCCAGGCTCATGGCCAGCTGTGGCAGGGCCTGGGCTAGAGAGGGACCACAGTCCATTTGCATCATCCCAGGAACCACGAAAGACGGATCTTACAGTCCCGTCCTGCAGGTGCGCCATCTAAGATGCACTGGGAATGAGGCTGGTACCAGCAGTGGGCAGGAGCACAGGGGAAACCTTCCCTGCGTGGTGAAGCAACATTCTCAGTGGGTCTAGAGGGGAGCCTGATGCTGGATCTGAGTGTCAGAGTGAGGGAAGCCTGAAGGACACACATGATGGCTGGGCACTGACCTGGCCTCGGGTTTTAACTCCCTGTTCCCTCATGGGTGACTTGGGGCAAGCTAATCACCTCTCTGCGCTCCCACCCCGGCTGGTACATGGTAGTGCCTGCCTCATCCAGATGTCAGAGGGAGTCAGTGAGCGCCAAGCACAGGACACAGGGCAAGGCCAGGCCTGGTCCTTACTGCTCTTAGAGTGATTTGAATCTTCTCCCCTGGGGCAGGTGAGTTCTCGCTGGCTTGGGGGTGGGGGGCAGGGGGATGTCTCAAAATTGCCCTGAGACGTGAGACTGCTTTGGTGGAAAGAGTGGGCTTTCAAGTCAGAGAGGGTCCATGATGCTGTGCAATCTTGGCTGTGTGACTTAACCTCTCTGAGCCAGTCTCCTCATCGAGGGAGTGGTGCTAACCGCCTCACCCAGCTGTTGTCAGGATTCAGTAAGAAGGTGATGTAAGTCTTCCGCCATGGTAGGTGCGCACTATATATATTCTTACTTTCTGTATTACCTGCTAGTTCAGAGCCTGGGGCAGCTGCCTAGGAGGAAGGAGGGGACACAGGGAAGGCTCCTGTAGGGGAAGTGGGAGAGAAATTGGGTTAGCAGTTTTGCCCTAAATGTGGTACCACGAGTCCCAACTCAGGCTCTCATCCAGTCACCTGGGGAGCTTTCAGAGAGAGGGATGCCTGGGCCACTAGGACCCCTGGGTCTGGGGTGGGACCCAGGCAACCCAGAAACTTCCCCAGGTATTCCCATGAGCAGCCACAGCTGAGATTTGGCTGGGAGACACTCCCCCCAATTAATTCCCCCTACTTTTTCAATGTCAGCTTGGAAAGGGGACACCCACACCAGCCTCCACGTGCGTGTCCCATGCTGGGGGGCCCAAGAGCCCTGCCCCTGGGAGATGGGGGCTGAACACAGGCGGGGCCCTTCCTCTCGGTGGCCCTGGTGGCCCTCAGCCCCAGTAGAGCGAGCTGAGGGGCTTTCTAAACAACTCCACGGCCCAGGCCCTCTCCAGCCCCATGCAATCAGGCTCTCTGGGCACTGGGCCTGGGAACCTGCATTTTTAGCATCCCCACGTGAATTTATGCCTTACACAAATCAGATGTTGCTGCTGAAAAGTCATTTTGTAAATCACATCATCCTCAGAACCCCAGAGAGCCACCTTCCAAAGAAATAGCCTGGTAAACTCTTGAGATGCGAACAATCTCCCTCATCTGTTCAGCAGCCCCGGCTTTTGTGCTGGTGCATTTCACAGTGGGCCCCACTGGGCTGTGGAAGGCGGGAGAGCGGGAGGGGGAGCTCAGGGACCTGGGGTGGGTGGCGGGGACATCAATGCAGCTCTGACCCGGGAGGCAAAAGCAGCATGGTGGGGGAGTTTGGGGCAGGGGCCGTGGGCAGACCCAGGGCAGACTGGGGAGTAGGGTGCACACTGCTCTGGGGCTTGGGGGGCAGGGGCTGTCCCAACTCTGCCCCTCCCGGGTGACGGGACCATCCTCGCCCAGATGTGAATGTGAACGAGACGGGCCACCACCAGCCCCACATGGTGACCAAAGGGAGAGCAAGCGCTTCGCCTCGGGAGGCTCGGCTTCAGGCCCAGGGAGGCTTCCTAACTGTGCTGGGCTGTGGTGGGGAGCCCCGGGGGAGGGCGGGGAGCAGAACCCTCGCCAACCCCGCCGGCCTCTCCCCCGCCCCCAGCTCTCCCCAGGCTCCGAAGAGGACGAGGCCCACGAGGGCTGCAGCCGGGAGAACCTGGGCCGGATCCAGTTCAGCGTCGGCTACAACTTCCAGGAGTCCACGCTCACCGTGAAGATCATGAAGGCCCAGGAGCTGCCAGCCAAGGACTTCAGCGGCACCAGCGACCCCTTCGTCAAGATCTACCTGCTGCCAGACAAGAAGCACAAGCTGGAGACCAAGGTGAAGCGGAAGAACCTGAACCCCCACTGGAACGAGACTTTCCTCTTCGAAGGTGAGCCCGGGGCTGCCCCCGCCCCCAGCCAGAGCCCCGCCTTCCCCTCCCGCCCCCACCCTGGGGCGCCTGTACTCACCGGTGCGCAGGCGCGCACACACGCACGCGCACGCACGCACACAGGTAGACTCGCGCGTCCCCGGCCCTCACCCACGCAGACCTCCGTCTCCGCCCAGGTGACCCGAGGCTCTTTGCGTCTAACCTAGCGCAGCTGGTACCTGGGGTCTCAGCGCAGACGCGGGACTCCTCCTGAGGAGGGCGGGCAGGCGGGGAGGCGCGCACAGGACCCAGAGGGGGAGCCCCTGGAGTCCAGGCTACGGCCCAGGCTGTGTGTTGGAAACCCAGCTCCGCGCCTCTTTGGCTGTGTGACCAAGACAAGTTCCTGCACTTCTCTGGGCCGTGGTTTCTTCATCTGTAAAAGAAGGATAGTAATAGCAAGGAGGAACAAATCAGTGACTTGTGAAAGCCCTTATGATACCCAGAAGACCCTTTACACCAGTTTGTTGGAGACGCTCCGTCTGTTCCCCTTCTCTGAACATTTCCCCCCACCCCTCCCCCACATCCAGACGCGTGGTGACAGCAGCTCTGAACCATGCCCCTGGTTCCTAGAAGCCACTGAGGCAGATGCCCTTCCTCTCCCCTGCACACCCCCTCAAGGCCATCTTTATCTCTTACCTCTAAGGCGCCAGGGTCACCAGGAAGCTGGGCTGGGTTCAGGGAGCCATTCTGTCCCAGGCCTTTTTGATGCGTGGACTCCATGTAGAGAAGCCATTATGCTTTCCCGACATGTTCAGCCAGTGAAAATAAATCCCTGTGACTCCAACCACCATCTGCCTCAGGGTTCCAGAATTTTCAGTGTGCACCCCAGGGAATCTTCCCCACCTGGTGTCCCAGCCATTTGACACCCCACCCCTTCTGCAAAGTGACAGCCAGCTCACCTCAGATGAATCGTCGAGGGTGAGCTAGTGGATGCTTGTGGGGTGGGAGGACCCTTCTTCCCGGTTCAGCGGGGAGACCTGTTTAGAGATGGGACAACCAGGGAGAGGCTCAGCTTTCTGGAAGGGTGTGAAGCCAGCTGGTGGGGCGAGATTTATGGGCAAAGCTTCAATCCCCTGATCTCTTCTGCAGACATTTATCCAGCACCAGCGATGGGCTGGGCACTGTCCTGAGTACTGGGGGTGCAGAAAAGACCAAGGCACCATTTGTCCCTCAAGTCATTCCTGAGCTAATGGAAGACATAGGTGTGTAGACAATCAAGCCATACTCTGCATGGCAGATGTTGTGGGAACCCACTGTCCTCTCCACTTGATGGTGCTAGAAAACATTTCCCACGATAGGGGCCATTCAGGATGGGTTCTCATGGAAGAATAGGTGTTTGCCAAATAAGAGACTGACTTCCTCCTCTGCTGTTGAAAAGAATGGACTCCAGTGTGGGGACCTCTTGGAGCCTCCAACATTTCCAGAACCATTTACCTGAACCAATGCCAAAGGTCACTGGACAGGTCCCTGGGGGACTCCAAGATGAGCAAGACAAGACCTAGACCCCTTCGGTGGGAGGAGGGCCTGAAGGAATTCAGGGGGTGGAGGTTTGGGGAACACAGGACTTCCTCTTCCAGCACACCTGCTCCTGTGAGAGGCAGTTCTGCTTCTAGCATCTGGCTGAAAGTGCTAGAATGCTCCAGAGCTCTTCCTCTCCCCCCATCTTCTCCGCCAGCCAGGCTAAAGTGTTGGGGGTCCTGTCTTCTTCCCGCTCACACCGTGGTTCAGGATCTCACCACCTCAGGCCTCCAGGCTGACCTACACCTTCTCTGTGCTTTGTGCCTCCCAGACTAGCCCCTCCTCTGACCAAGCCTCCCCAGGTCCAGTGACTCTGGCTTCAGCCCTTCCTCAGACTCCCTCCCCTGGCACTCCCTGCAGCTTCCTCACCCACTCCCCAAAGCACACTCCTGCTGCTCCATCAGGCCATTAGCTGCCATTTATTCATCCTTTCAAGTATTGATTCACTTAAACAAATATTTATCGAGTGCCTACTACATGCCAGAAACAGTGTTGGATGCTGGGATCTGGTGGTTGAGGACAGAGTTGCCTTCCTGGAAGTCCTACCCTGGTGGGAGTCAGGCCCAAGGAAACAGAGGAGTCTCTGTGAACAGCCCGTGGTGGCATGATGTGAACAGAAAGTGCTAGAATCTAGAACAGGGGACCTGACGCCATCTGGGATGTCAGGGAGGAATGCTGAGACTGTTTCGGCCAGGCCAGGTGGTGGAAGTGCCTTCAGACAGGAGACACCGGGTGCTGGAACTTGGGGAAGGAAGCTGGTGTGGCCGGAGCCCATCACTGAGTGGAAAGCGCTCGAAGGAGGGGCCGGGAAAGGACAGCGGGCCGGGTTGTACAGAAGGACTGGAAGCCAAGGCAGGACGTGGGGCTTTTACTCTAAGTGCACTGGGAGCCCCTGAAAAGCTTTAAGCAGGAGGGTGTCACGATGGGATTTCTATTTTTAAGGGATCACTCTGCTGTGTTGACAATGGATGGTAGGAGAAAGCACACAGGCAGGGAGGGTGGTTTGGAAACTCTGGTGACTGTCTAGAACGTGCCAGCAGCTTGGATGAGGGAGGTGGCCGTGGAGAAGGGGATAGCTTTGGGATCTGTTGAGGAACAGCGAAGGACTGGCTGATCCCTGGAGGGGGAAGCATGGCGTCTGAGGATACGCATCTGCTCCTGTTTCTGTGTCTTTGCCCTTCCCATCTGCCTGAGGCCTCTTGGGGCTGGCTTTCTGGCCCAGGCTCTTTCAGGGATGATCGGCAGGGGCAGGGCTGCCCAGGGAGAGAGGGACCCCTGCCCAGCCCCCGAGACAGACACATGACCCAGGAGTGCCTAAATGGTCCCGCCTGCTCTTTAGCTGGGAGACTGCAGGCAGGTGATATAAGCCCTCTGAGCCTCTGTCTCCGCATCTGTAAAATATATCAGATGCCTTCGACCCTGGAGAGCTGTCATGAGGGAAAAGTGTGGCCATGACAGTTCTTGCTAATGCTTCAGGAAGGTCAGAATTCGGCTGTTGCCTCCCATTACCTCGGTGGGGTGGCAGGTGGCAGGCTTCCTCTCAGGGACTTGGTGCCCTGGGGGGGGGGTCGCCGTGCCCAGGCCCCATGTGGCCCCTCTGTCCTGCGCTTCACCCAAGCCGCCATCTGTCTGCCAGGTTTCCCGTACGAGAAGGTGGTGCAGAGGATCCTCTACCTCCAGGTCCTGGACTATGACCGGTTCAGCCGCAATGACCCCATTGGGGAGGTGTCCATCCCTCTCAACAAGGTGGACCTGACCCAGATGCAGACCTTCTGGAAGGATCTGAAGCCATGCAGCGATGGGAGTGTAAGGCCCCACTTATGGCTCCCTGGCTCAGGGGGCGGGCAGGTCAGGGCCAGCAGAACTGGTCCTAGTCCCCCTGCAACTTTGGGAATGTCAGGAGGGTGGTGGGAAACGGGCACCCAGGGGAGCAGAGTTCCACCTTTGGTCTCAGCACCCATGCTTGGCCCTGGGGCAGGGTGGGTGGGAGCTGCTGAGCTGTGGTAAAGGACCTGGTGCCTGTGTAGGGAGGAGGGGCCCCATGGGGGTTGGTGTACAGAACTTCCAGGTGAGGGGACACCGGGTGTGACAGAGGTGAAAGGTGGGGATGGGTGAGCACCTGGGCCCAGGCAGGGAGGGCCCTGGGGCAGTGGAGCCAGCCAGAGAGTTCTCTAACCCTCCCCTCTCCCCCAGTCCCCACACTGCTCCTGTTCTCCCTCCCAGGGGAGCTGAGGCGAGTGGAGGGGGACACCCCTCCCCACAGCCCAGGCTCACCCGCAACCTTTCCCTCCCAGGGGAGCCGAGGGGAGCTGCTCTTGTCTCTCTGCTACAACCCCTCTGCCAACTCTATCATCGTGAACATCATCAAAGCCCGGAACCTCAAAGCCATGGACATCGGGGGCACCTCAGGTCCTGGGGCTTCTCGACAAGAGTGCGGGAGGGACCGGGAAGGTTCTGGGGACATGACGGTCATGCCAGATGTGGAGAGCAGGGTCTGAGCTGTGCACTCACCCCGACCCTCTCACCCCACCTTTCTTCTCAACTTCGCTACCTTAGAGTCCTGGGTGGCCCCCTTTGGAGCACCCTCAGGGTCTGTATCACTTGGACTCTGTCCTGACCAGAATCAGGGAGAAGGGGAGCACTGTGGTGGGAGATCTGGGCTCCAGCACCAGCTCGAACGCTTGTCATGGGTGACCTCAGGCAAGACCTGGCCTCTGCGGGGCTCAGTTTCCTTGTTTGTTTTCATAATAGGGCACTGAGTGATGGCCAAGGTCCCTTCCAATTCATCCGTCCACTGGTCCCCCAGATCCCTCTCCTTGTTGCTTGGGGCTCTCCTGACCCTCTGGGGAAAGCGTGCAGCCCCTCCTGCCCCAGCTGCCACTCCTGGAGAGGGAAGGGAATCCTGGGGAGCTCCAACACTGACCCTTCTTCTACCCCTTCCCCAGACCCCTATGTGAAGGTGTGGCTGATGTACAAAGACAAGCGGGTGGAGAAGAAGAAGACAGTGACTATGAAGAGGAACCTGAACCCCATCTTCAATGAGTCTTTTGCCTTTGATATCCCCACGGAGAAGCTGAGGGAGACGACCATCATCATCACTGTCATGGACAAGGACAAGCTTAGTCGCAATGATGTTATTGGCAAGGTAGGGGCCTGGTGGGTGGGGTGACACACCTGACTTCCAAGAAGCAGCAGGGGCAGTGGGTGAGCTCAGGGCTGGGCCAGTCCCTTCCCCTCTTTGCGCTTCCATTTCATCTATAAATGAGAGGATGGGACAAAATCTTCCCTGGGTGTCCTACTGTGGGTTGGTCCAGACCACTAGAAGGGCAGAGAAAGGAGGAAGTGGGAGAAAGACATGGCTTCGGTCCCCAAAAGGGAGTTTACTGGACAGGACCCTCTGGCTGGGTAAGGACCTCAGAGCAGTGTCACCCAGGTCCCATCTTCAGAGGGTGAGTTCGGTGGAGCAGTGTAAGAAGCCGCAGTCAGACCCCAAAGACCTGGCTTTTGTTCCACCCCATGTGTTGCTAAATAGCTGTGTGACCTTGGGCAAGCCACTTGTCCCTCTGACCTCCAGTGTCCTCATTTATAAAACGGAGCCAATAGTACCGACCCTATAGCCCTTCACAGGGTGGTATGAGGATTACCTGAAATCTGTGGATGTTCTCCTTGTAGAAAGTGACTTCTCCTCATGATAGACTTACCAAAAAAATCCATACCTGGCCTTGAGTTTTTTCAGGATGAGTCTGTGACATAATCCCTTCAGTTTTTCTACCTTGAAATGTCTATCCCTGTGTTAGTTTATGGTTTAGTGTGGAGAGTTTGGGCTCGGGAATCCCATCGCTGAGCCCCAGCCCTACTCTTGACAGCCATGACCTATCTGAGCCCCATTTCATTTCCACAATGAAAGTAAGACAGTCCTAACCTCCCAGTATGCGGAGATGAAATAAGACAACGTGGGCGAAATGCTTAGCACGCTGCTTCGAGTGTGTGTGTTAGCTGCCATTGTAAGAAAAGTTATTCGTGAAGCATTCCTACTAAGGACATGTCTGTGCATCCAGAGCTTTGACCAGGAGCAGTACAGGAAGCCAGGGAGGAGGGCAGGTGGAGGGGAAGGGCCGATGCCAGGAGCACGGGAGGAAAAAATTTGTGTTCCCTGAGGCACAGCCCCGTATGGGGTAAATGACAAGTGACCTGGGCCCCCATGGGGAAGAGAGCCACGATGGAGGCAACTCTCAGTTGGGGATGGAGAACTTAGCTACCTAAGGGAAGCCCCTGACCTTCAAGTAAGGTCCCAGGAACCTGAGCGCCCAACCTGTAGTCACAAGTGGCACCATTCCTCAGGGCGGCAACCCCCATAGCCTAGCAGGACCATGTGTTCCCATCAGCCTGCGGCCTACTGAGCCCCCTCCTTGACCAGCTCGGGCCAAGTAACCATTATCTACTTCAGAGCTCTTTGGAAGCTTAGCCTTCTGCATTTGGGTGTTCTTGTGATACCAATCATAGCCCCTTCTGAAACCGTCCCACCTTCTGCTGCCTGAGCCCAGGTGAAGGAGGATGGGTTCTCACTCTGGCCAGGGTCGCTTGGTGAGCCCGGGCTTATAACCAGCCTCCAGTCACAAGGCTGGGGTCAGCTGGGGGAACCATGCCCGTGGCTCCACAAGGCTGCAAAACCCCCAAAACAAAAGCCAGCAGGATCGGGCTGGTAGGACAGAGGTTGAAAGGGCTAGATGTAAATTCCGCTGTACCACTTACAACTTCTGGGTGAGTCTCTTTGCTCTCCACACCTTCGTTTCTCCATCTGTAAAATGGAGGTAATATACCTGCCTCATGGGTAAGGATTCGGGGACCTGTGTTTATAAACTCCTGACCTCAATGCCTGGCGGGCAGGAAGTGGCAAGAAGGGGAGCGATCAAAAGTGAGAAGAGCTTGGGACGCCTGGGTGGCTCAGTGGGTTAAGCCTCTGCCTTCGGCTCGGGTCATGATCTCAGGGTCCTGGGATCGAGCCCCACATCGGGCTCTCTGCTCAGCAGGGAGCCTGCTTCCTCCTCTCCTCTCTCCGCCTGCCTCTCTGCCTACTTGTGATATCTTTGTCTAATAAATAAAATCTTAAAAAAAAAAAAAAAGGGTGAGAAGAGCTAGACAGTGGCCAGCAGGGCAGGAGGGGCTGGGCCTAGCTGCCTCCACCCCCACTGTAAAACAGGTCAGGAGTCTAACTGGGAAGGGCCAGGCAGGCCCAAGCTCCCAGAGGGAGGCACAGCAAGGAAAATGGGTCAAGCTGGTGGGGAGGAGGGAGAAGGAGGGAGCCTCTGAGGGTAGGCCGTCGCTGTAGGCAGAGGCCTCTAGGTCCCCATGATCACGACCTCGGGGTACCATTGAGGAGATGGAGATCACCCCCTGCGGGGGCAGGGGACAATGCTTCTGAGTGTCACTGATACCGTGCTCTTCCCTTTCGCCCCAGATCTACCTGTCCTGGAAGAGCGGGCCCGGGGAGGTGAAGCACTGGAAGGACATGATCGCCCGTCCGCGGCAGCCGGTGGCCCAGTGGCACCAGCTGAAGGCCTAAGTGTGGCCACAGGAGGCCCAGGGGGCCAAGGGCCCGGGTCCCCATCATGCCCTCACCACTTTATGCACAATGCCCGGCCTGGCCCCCCGCCATAGGTGAGGGGAGGACCCTGAGGGCTTGGCCAGGGAGGGGTCCCAGGAGTCCGTTGGGCCCCATTTCTAGGAAGTACCAGCCTCATCCTCCACCGGTCCAGCTCTGGGGGAGGGGCTTTGGGAGCCATTTTCCTGCTTTGCCCCTTTCCTTCCTGACTTGCTGATACTAAAGAAGTGGGGGAGAGCGTGAAGGCCAGACAGGCAGATGGGCAGACCCCTCCAGAGACCCGCCAGGTGGGCACGGTCCCCCGTTTTCTTTAAGGCAGTGCCTGGAGTGGAGAGAAGTTGCTCTCTCCCCAGCTCCCGATATGGGCCCTGGGGAAGGAAGGCCGAGGCGTTTGGCCTGGCCTGGCCAGGAGAGGCCCATCCCAGGACAGTTTCAGGTGCCGGCTGGGCCCTGAATGCCAAGGATAGTATATAGCCCGCTCCAGGGTCCTGGAGCTGAAGCCCATGTACTTGGCGTCGCGTCCACTTTGTGTGTGTGCGTGGCGGGGGGCACTCTTACCCTGTCCCCCTGGGGGCCGCCCGTGCAGAGAGGGCAGGCTCTCATAAAGTGAGGTAGGACAGGAGGCCAAGAGAGGTCAATGCACAGAGCCAGGGGTGGGCAAGGAGAGGCAGGTGAGGGGTGAGAGGGGAAGGGGGGGTGGTGGAAGAGGAGCAGACTCTGGAGCCGGACTGAGAACTTGGCTGCCTCCACCTCCTGCCTGTCTCTGCTCCGAGCTCTCCCGGAGCTCCTTGCTGAGCGATTTCGTCTCTTGAACATCATTTCACACCTTTTAGGCCCCTACTGCGTGTACCACATTCCACCAGGACTCCCCTCCCTTCCTTCTTAGGGGTCCCACAGCCCCACCAGCCCTCTTCCCCAACACCCTCACCCAGACACCCTCAGCCACCCCAGATCTCAGATCCCAGCCAAGCTGGCCGTGTTCTCCACGCTTCCCAGGTTCCTTCCCTGTCTGGGCAGACCTCTGCAGCCCTCCATCTCCCAAACTCGCAGACCTTCCCTTCCATTTGGGGTCGGAGTCTGTGGCCCAGCCTTCTTTCCCCATCGCTCCCAGTCCCTTCGAGCAGCTCCTCCCGCCCTCTCAGTTGAGGCAGAAGACGTAGGGAAAATCCAGATTCCGCAAGTTCTGAGGTTGCCTCACCCAAAGAAGCGGGGATTTCTCTGCCTCAGCCGTTGCAGAGACTAGAACTGGCCTCCCCTTGGAGACAGCAGATGCCGGGATGATCTCTGCTTAACCCTGCTCAGCCCCACAAGGGTCCTGGTATTGATAAAATACAGCTGGGGACAGTCAAATCCGGGGCGGGGGTCTGCCTGCCTGGGCCTGACGTTGCCGGCACAGGCCGCCAGGTGGCGCCCGGACACCACGTCTGTGGTGGCAGCCTGGGACCACAGTTCTACCCCCGAGATGGGCCTGACCCCAAGGGGAGACTCTGGATAGGGTCCCCACTTACAGAGCACGGCAAAAGCATGGGAATTTGAGAGCCATTTTCCTTAAGTAGTCTGCCCCTTGAGCTGCCCGTATCAAAATGTATTACACTGAATCTCACACCCGTGTCCTCATCCCCTCCTCCTGTGGTCTGGAGGAGCGCCATACAGTGTCCGTGAATCATTTTGTAGATTCAGGAGTGCTCTTGTAAAGCAAATAGTCACCCATATTTCTTGTAAATCCCAATTTTTCTGTATTGTAGCTTTGCTTAAAATGGGGCCCTGCCCCAAGTGCAGGGTCTTTATCGGGCGGCCTGGGGACCAGCCCCCAGCGGGATAGGAGGGCAGCAACTCCGAAGGCTGTGTGGATGTGATCAGAGTTTTGTGGGAAGCCTTGCAAGGCGAGGGATCTGTCCTCCATGGCTCCCTGAGATCCTGTGCCCCAACACTACGGGGTGCCAGCCCCGCCCCTGTGTCCCCTGGCCCTCTGCGGAGCTTGAACCAACCTGCAATGAGTGGGCGGAGCAACCGCATCTTTTTTTCCTCGAGCCCCGCCCACAGAGCTCTTGGCGAATCATCTGCAGAGAGCATCTTCAGGCGGAGTCTGTTCACAGTCTGACCCACCCAGGCATACTGGTGAACCCTGCCTGGGTTTTCCCAACCCCCAACACGCTGCGGCCGGGAGGCCGGGGAGGGGCTGTAAGTGGTGGGCGGAGGTCCTGTGGGCTGGCAAAGAAGGAGGCGGATGGTATGTGGTGAGGGCGCGGTTGGGCTAGGGCCAGAGGAGAACAGGGAATGGGGAACTTGAGGATGGGGGGAAGGGCACAGAAGCCCTGCCACCGTCCCAGGACCTTGGGCAGATCACCCACACTCCCGGGGCCTCAGTTTCCCCATCTGTAAAATGATGGTCATAATACTTCACCTACCTCATAGGGGAGGTTGTGAGGCCGCCGTCACCTGACCTGGGGCTTGAGGCAGGAGGACTCTGAAGGTGCTACCGGGAGCAAAGTATTATTACTGTAGCCTGAAAGCAAGGCCCACCTGCCCCTCCCCCTGCAGAGTCTCCAGGGATAGCCGAGGCTGGCCTGGGCCCATCTATCTCTTCTCCACTGTGTCCCAGGTCCCTTCATGAGCATCACCTGCCGTCTTTGTGGGCGCCCTAGACTTAGTTGTTATCTCGTTCAGGTATCCTTTCTTGTGACCATCTCCCTTCATAACTGCTGTACAAATTCCACCTGCCACAGGACCCCGCACCTGCCCACTGGCGCCAGACGCCAGGGAAGGGACAAGGAAAACAGCCACAAAAAAAGCCAAGGGGGCCCCCAGAGTCCCCAGCCTGGCTTGGGCCCCAGGGGTGGGGTTGGTGGCCACTGTTTGTACTGTGTTGGAGTCCTTGAGTGCAAGCGTTTTATTTTTTAAAAGACAGACAGAAACTATCACAAGAAAAAAAAAATGCAGCAAAGAGAAATGAAGAAAAACTGAAGGAAAAAAAGGAAAAAAGAACCATACAAAATTTTTCCACCACACCCACCCTCTAAGCCAGCAAAATTTCCTCTTTGCAAAATCATATTTTTGTGGGAATGGGCCCCGCTTTTTGTGGCAGGGCCTGTTCTGATCAATAAAGGATCGTGACGAAGTAGGGCCTCGGCTGTTTCCTCCGTGGGTCCCAGCCCTACCTCACCTCCCAGAGAAGAGGTATTGGGTGAGGGGGTTGGGAAGCTTGGGATCGAGTCTCCCTGTGTCCCCTTTGGGATTTGGCTTCACTGGTGATGAGGCCCTCCCTGACCTTCCAGCCCCTCCTCAGATCTAGAATATGAACCCACCAGCTACCCAGAAAGCAGGAGAGCAGCCATACTTCCCTATCAGACCTGAAGCGAGGCTTGTCGGGAGTGGAGTCTCTTTGAGACCCTCTCACTCACCCAGCCCAGCATCACCTCCTTCAGCTCCCAGGGGACTGTCACCACCCTCCAAGGCAGGTCAGACAATCCAAACCAGGACCCTCCACCTTGCCTACCTCTCCCCCCAAATGCTGACTGGCCTTTCGTGGTTTCGGGGACCAGGAAGGAGCTCCAGGTCTGTTGGCTGGATCTTTGGCTCCTCTCTACCCTTTTCTGATTTAATCCTTTAGGATTAGAAGAGTCTTTCCAAATCGAAAGAGCCCATGGCCAGTTCCAGTCTGAGGAAACTGGGCCCCAGTGTCTTCCTTTTCCAGCCACTGTGGTTCCCGGGCAAGTTACTTCCTTCCCCAGGACCAGTGTCCTTAGTTCACAAAAAAGCAATAACCATCCCAGCCCATTTCTTGCCCTCCCCGCATGTAGCCTGGGGGAAGCCGAGGCCTGGCAGCTCTCAGGGTACTTTAGAAGGAAGGTGCTACATCTGTCGCAGACCCAGAAGGAGCAAGTGCACGTCTGTCCCCATGTGCCAGCGGCTGGCCCTGACCCCTCCAGAGTGAAGGGTACCACCGCACCCCTGCTCCCCAGCACCTGGGGTGGGCAACTGCTTCCCTGCGATGCACCAAGAACCCCCACCTAAAGCCACCTGTCCTGTCCCCTTCCACCCCGTCAATTTCTTCCAACCTGGCTTCAGTGTCCCGTTAAAAGGTGGTTTTCTTCTTTTGGCTTCTGATCTCTATCCCAGAGATTAGAGGGAGCCCTCAGGTCAGGTAAGTAGCCTGAAGAGCACGCCTTGCCAGAACTTCTGTTCAGGATCTCTCTGGAAAGCTGGGCCCGAGGGAAGACCCCCTCAGGGGCTCCCCCTGGACCTTTTGCCTGGTTCTCCTGCCTTCACCTTGTCGGCTCTCCCAGCATCCATGCCTTCACCAAGAGATTTGCCCATCTCTCCCTGTGCCCGGGAACCCTGTCCTCTGGTGTGCTCTTCCCCACGCAAACCCCTCCCGGATGCTGCTGCTTTCCCGAAGGCCATCTTGGGCCACGTCCTGCTCTCCTCTTCCTCCCCAACAAAGACAGCGGAAGGACACGCTTGATCATGCTGTACTCCCCAGCCCGTGGCTCCCCTGACCATCTGTGTCCCTTGAAGATGCCCCACTCCCTGTGTCTGCGTCCTGCGCGTGTGCGTGTGTGTGCCTTGTGTCTTTAGATTGTGAGCCCCCCTGGGCAGCGACCCCTGTCTGATCCATGTTCTGTGTGGCACACCTAGGTGTGCTAATAAATGTCCATCCTCAGAAGAAGAGTGTCCAGGTGTCTTCAGGAAGCTCTGGGACAGGTAGCTGGGCAAGACGGCATGGTGGCATTAGGAGGCAGGAGGGGGTTCTGGGCAGGACCTCCAGGTCCCGAGCAGCGCCTTCTGCTCTCCCAAGCCCCAGAGGGTGTGTGGGAAGCGGGGGATGACTGTCACAAATTAAGAAAGGACATGCGCACACACACACATACCCTAGTCTCAGTCTCCGCCACTCTGCTGGCCAGGTCTGGCTGCAGGGAGGCTCTGGGAGGGCACGATCCCACCCATCACGCACCGAGACCTGACCATCAGCTTAGGACAGAGGGGATCTCCTGTGGTGTGGATTCAGCTCAAGGTTAGGAGACCTGAACCCCATGGATGAGCAAGTCCCTTCCCTCCCGGGCCTGTCCCTCACCCTGCTACTGCCTTTGCTCATTTGTCATCACGGTCGCCACTCCCTGCCCTCTGTCTCTGATCCCTGAACCCTAGGCACACACACAGTTCTTGGAGAGCTTCCAAGGTGCTCCCCCAAGGCCCACCCCCCACTGACTGCCCCGCACCAACAGGAGTGCTGTAGACAGGTCCACTGTTACAAATTCCCCTCCAAAAATCTTTTCCCTTCCCCAACCCCCGTCCCCTCCCCCCAACGCCAAGTGAGAAGTCACAGGCAGTTGGGGCAGGGGTGAGCTAGGACTCCCAATACCGTGCTCTTTCCAGCTGTCCTTGGCAACTGTCCTTGGCAATGGCCCCCTCCCTACCCTGGTCTCTCCATTTCCAGATGGAGACCCAGACCCTTGATAGTGCTCTCAAACCAGGAGTCTGCAACCACTTTAGCCAAACGGTCTCATTTCCCAAGAGGAGCTGGTTCCTGGTGGTGGTGCAAGCAAGTAGCAAAGCTGGGACCTGGGCCCCAACAGGTTTTTCTTCTCCCTGGAAAGAAACTTAGCCTTGGCAGCCCCTGCTTGGCTGGTAAGCAGCCATGGATGAGGATGCCATGTTCGGTAGGGGCCCTCTGTGCCTGCACATGGCCCCGGGGTACGCATGGGGCCTTGGCCTCACCTAGAGTTCTCAGGCAGGTGCAACAGGGGAAGGGGTACAGGGAAACACACCGAGAGGGAGGAAATCTGGGCTATGGGGACCAGTAGGTACTCCAGAGTGACCGTGGTTCCCCCCACCCCCGCACCTCGACTTCCCCTACATCTCAGATTCGCATGGAGGGAGGTAGAGAAATGCCGGGTTGCATGGTGTTCTGAGCTGTAGCATCACATCTACATAAACCCCACACCATGTGTGCAGATGGGGAAACTGAGGCCCAGGGGACCACGACGTGCTCCAAGTCACTTGGCCAATTGCAAAACTAGGACTGGAACCCACGCCTTCTGAATCTGGCCTCAGGGCTATTTCCTGTACGCTGTGGTCTGAGTCACGGAGCAAGAGGACAGTCTCTGGTCAGCTGCGCTTCCTACCTCGAGTGATTCTGAGACCTAAAAGTCCATCCTCCAAGTTCCCAAGCCCCAGAAAGGACCACTGACCCTAACGGAGCTCCAGCCAGGGGAGCAGGGGCACCTGAGGAGCCCCAGGAGGGAAAAGCTCTGCAGCCAAGCCCCAGACCCCTCGTCGTCTGGAGCAGAAGGTAGCCTCCAGTCTTCCCCACCCACCCACTCCTTCTGTCCGTTCAAGGCCTTTTCTCTCACTTGCAAGTCAGCTGCTCCCAGATCCATCCCAAGCCTCCCTGTAACCCAGGCCCAGCCCAGTGACCGATAGAGCTGCTGGGCCGGACCTGACCTTTGGGCCTTGAATGACATCAGCCCTGTTGCCATGGTGACCGTGGCCGGGCAGCATCTTCTCATGGGAGATGGGCCTCTAGACTTGAGGCTTTATGATGTTTTCTTTAAATCTTTTTTTCCTGAATAACGAGGAAAGAAAGTAATACCATAACTGAGTAAAAAAGAGATAAGGAGGGAGAGACGAAGAAAAAGGAAAACAGAGCGAGGGATATGGAAAGAGGGAAGAATAGACACATGGCGAGAGGGTGGGAGGGGCGAGTGCCAGTGAAAGGAGAGAGAAAGGTCAGCCCAGCTTGAGGGAGATTCACTTTATATTAAGAGCCAGGAACCTATGAAGCAAGCTGGAAAGGACAAAAAAGGAGGTGAGAGTGGTTTCTGGCAGGCAGAGTGAGTGAGAGCGAGACAGGAGACCAGCCTCAAGCAGCCAAAGCCATTTGTAACAGACGGCAGGCACTTGGTCCCCAGACGGGACACAACTGTTGGCCACGGCCCGCCTGACGCAGAGCTGGCGCACATGGACAGGACCGCCGTGCCAGAGGGAGCCCAGGTTCCCCACAGCCATGGGACCCAGTGCTCCCGGGACTTATAAATAAACAGGCATGTGGGAAACACACATTCTTTCTCCAAGAAATATAATTTATGTTTACAGCCGGGTTTTTTTTTTTCCTAAAGAAAACACTACCACGTGGGGCCCCTGCCCCTGACGGTGTCCCTGAGTGTCCCCCGCCCTGGCCCCCACCTTCCGTTATTGCTTGGATGGGAAAGATCTGGCCCTGGGAATTGTAGAGCGGCACCCCACTCCTCACCCCCTAAGGCTGTCCCTGGTGACGGAGTGGAGGCACACAGTGCTTGTCCCGTGCCCCACGCGGTGCCAGCCACTCTGACTGTGCCCATTTAAGGGAATGGAGAGTGCAGGCAGTGGGAGAGGCCCCGGAGCAGCCTCCCAGAGCAGAGATCCTCTCTCCTCCTCGCAGGAGGCCCTAGAGGCACAGTGGATTCTTCTCAAACTTGACAGCTGGAAGGCTCAGGCTTTGGGGAAGGGAGAGAGAGCTTCTGCTCCCAGCGAGATTCCAGGCACAAGCTGAGAGAACAGAATCAGAGGCGGGAGTAAAGACCCTGCCTTCTAAGCGCCCCCTACCCCATGCAAGTTTTAGGGGGCCTGGGAAGGGAGGTATGTGCGATGGGCCCCAGTGGAGGGCCAAGAGCAGCTTGGGTGTTAGGGCCCCAATCCCGCTCTCCCACTTCTGTCCTGGGCACTGGCGCGGGGCCCAGGCCCTCCTCCAAGGGCAGCTCGGGCTCACACAGGCCTGTGGTCCACCCCAGAGGTAGCAGCTCCTGCACCAGGAAGGGTGGCTTTAGGAGATCGAAACTCCAGGAGAGGGAGGGCTGGTGTGGCACGCTGGGCACCCAGACTCAGCCAGAGGTGGTGATGCCGTGGACAGCGCTGACCAGCATCTCCGCTGTGCTGTCAGCGACGCTATCAGACTAGACAGAGCCCGAGGCAACTAGACGGAGCCAGGCTTCCCAGTCTGAGGACTGCCCAGAGATCAGCCAGGTGGCAGGCAGCCAGGTGGCAGGCTGCTTACCAACCAGGAGTGTGCGAAGATGGCCCCCAGGCCTGCCTGTCCCTATAGCTCGCCCAAAGTGCCCCTTCACTGCCCCAAGGTAGGGGTCTGCCGTTCCCACAGACCTTCCCAGAGCCCCTCCTCCCAGAATGGCCCAAGTCCATCGCCCAGAGCATAGGCTCAGGTGCCCAGTCCCGGAGCGGCTTCCAGGGCGGGGAGGCTGTCCCGGGGGGCCCCCAGAGCCCGGGAGCCACAGCCCCCAATGAGTAGGTCCTCTTCCTCCTCATCCTCAAAGGCCCGAACTGGGCGCCGGGGCAGCGGCCGAGGTATGGGCTCGTCGCGCTCTGCCATGCGCTCGACGGCGCCCTCGCCCACGAGGAAGACGGTGTCGGCGACGCGCGGGGGCCCCGTGACCGGGTTGTGGTCGTAGGAGAAGACGCGCAGGGCGCGCAGCGGGTGCAGGTCGGGGAAACCGCCCAGGCGGTTGCGGTCCAGGTCGAGGATGTGCAGGCGGCCCATGCGCAGCAGCGCGGGCGGGAACTCCTCGAAGCGGTTACCGTAGAGCCACAGGCCGCGCAGGCCCGTCATGCGCGGCAGCTCGGCGGGCAGCGCGCGCAGCCGGTTGTCGCCCATCTGCAGCGACTGCAGCGCCACCAGGCGCAGCAGCGGCCGCGGGAAGCGCCGCAGGAAGTTGCCCTCGATCCAGAGGCAGCGCAGGCTCTGCAGCTGCGCGAAGTCCGCGGGCAGAGCCAGCAGCCGGTTGCCGCCCAGGTAGAGGCGCGTGAGGCGCGGCAGCCGACACAGGCCGTCGGGCAGGCGCTCGAGCTTGTTGAAGTCGAGCGCCAGAATGCGCAGCTCGCGCAGCTCCTCGATCTCCTCGGGCAGCTCGCGCAGCCCCGTGCCGCTCACGTAGAGCTTCTGCAGGCGGCTCAGCGCGCACACGGCGCTGGGCAGGCGCCGCAGCCGCCTCCCGCTCAGCTCCAGCTGCTGCTCGCCGCTGCGCAGCTGCTCCTCCGCGTCCGACGGCAGCTCGTCCGGCGTGGACTCGGCGATGCCCATGGTCACGGGCCCCGGCCCGGGCCGCCGCCGCGGCCGCCGCCACCGCCGCCTCCGCCTCCCGGCATCGCCCCGCCCTGGCCGCCCCCGGGGCCTCCCCGACGGGGCCGAGGCCGCGCCGGCTCCAGGGCCCCCCGCCCCGGCCTGTCCCTGCGCGGGGAGGGGGGCCGGGCCGGGCCGGGAGGAGGCGCCCGCTCGGGGCCCCGCAGCTGCGCTCCGCCGCCCGCCCTCCGGCCTCCCGCGCTCCCTCCGCCGGAGGCCGACTGCCTCGGCTTAGCGCTGACTTGCGGCTCCGCGACCCGTCGCCCTGGCAACCCCCGACGCGTGTGCGGCTGCCAATGAGGCGGAGGGGGGGCGGGGCGGGGCGGGGCCGAGGTGCCACCAGAGCGGGGTCCTGGTTCCCGGGCCCGCTCCCCCCCCCACGTCGGCCCCGGCGACCCGCCGGGTGAGCGGGCGCAAGCCGAGAGAACCCAAGCTCCGCGTCCCGAAAGCCGGGCGCTGTGCCAACACCGACCCGACGTCCGACGCTGTCTACACCTCCAGCACTACGAGCCGTTTGGTGAGCGGTCGTATGGACCCGGAGCAGCAAGTCAGAAGGCACCGAGGACCTTGGAAACCTAGCGCGCGACACCGGACTCCGGGACTCCGCCCGAGTGGCTCTCGGGGAGGAACGGAGGGGCGCTGTAAATGCCGGCTACTCATCGCCAGTGGCTTGCGCCCATCCTCACTTTAGGATAGTAACTCGGAGCAGTGTTACTTTCTGGCCCTTTTCAGGGTGGGTCACATCGGAGGCTTTGTGGGGACGGGAGCTTGGCTCCGCCCCATCCCCCCGCTCCCACTGCCCAACAGGTTCCTTGTTAGTGCACTCATGCTCCAGTCTCCTGCCTTGTCCCGCCAGCTACGCTGGAGGTCTGTGTGTGGCTGCGGTGGGCAGAGGACTGGGACACGTGAGCCGCTCTGAGCACCACCAAGGATGACCACTGTCATTCTGCAACTCTCTTGGCGCATGCTCCCACCAACAGCTGTGTGCCCCTGCCTTCTTCCCTCCAGTTCAGAGCCCTCCTGCCAGAGCTCTTGGCAGAAACACTCGCTCCCATTTACTCCGAGTCTGCCATGTGCCCAGTGCTGTACTAAGAGCATTGCACTGAGTCTTTGCAACACGTCTGAGGTTGGTACCCTCATTACCCCAAAATGAAAGGCGGAGAAACTGAGGCTCTGAGGGGTTTGACTTGAGCCCGGTGACTTGCCCAAGGTCACCGGGCTGGTGAGCAGCTGGGGTTTGTCCTGCTAATCACATACCACACCAACATAAAGAAACAGTGAATTTTCTCACCAGGGAGCCTCTAACTCTTTTGCCAAAACTACAAGGAAAGCATCATTAGTCCCATGAAGAAGAGGAGGAAAGTGGCCTGAGAGGGATTAGGGAACCTGCTTAAAAGCAGCCTCCGCAGGTTCAACGCATGCTCCATCCTGCCTCCCCTTGAACCTGGCTGGTGTGCACATGTAACTGATCTGACTCTCCCTCTAGCCTCCCTCCAGCTGCACCCCGACCTTTGACTCACCCCTATCCCCACCCCCACTGCAGACAGGGAGGGAGGCCAACCCAGGGGCAGAGAGCAGTGACCAGTGCCAGGAGAGCATGAGAACCGCTTGGAAGCTGGAATGTCAGCTCCTGGGGCAGACAAGTTTATCTCCTGCCCTGCTGCACCGTGTCTGGCACATAGTAGATATTCAGTGAGAACTTTTAACATTTTTTAAATGGAAACAAACTTTGCATACCATGAAATGCTCCGATGGTAAGTGTACATTTTGATGGGTTTTGACAAATGGAAACACCCATGTAATATTTCCATCACTCAGCGTTCCCCTGAGCCTCTCTAAGTCAATCTCTGCCTCCCAGAGGCAGCCATGAGTGTGACCTTTTTCATCACGGATCCGTTTTGCCTGTCCTTGAATTTCATATAAATGAAATTATTCAGTTCCCACGTTTTTCTTTTCTTTTCTTTTTTTCTTTCTTTTTTGTTTTTTGTTTGGTTCCTGGCTTCTTTTGCTCAGATGCACAATATATATTTGTTGGATAAAGGGATGAAAGGCATGGGGTTGACAGGTGATGGGACACCAAGGAAGGTATCACTGTGACCCAGGAACCCAGCCACCCACCCCCTGTCCTGTGAGGGGCACTCACAAAATGAAGGGAGGACTCCCAGCCAAGGCAGGGGACTCAGGCAGAGAATAAGTGGCGCCCAGACCCAGACTGGGTGTAAGAGGGTTCTGAACTCCTTCTGGGCTTGATCTAAGCCCCCATCCAACTCTTTCTTCTACTCCTTCGGGATAACGTTTTCGAAAAGACCAAAAAGCTGAAGAAAACCCAGCCAGGCTGCTGGGGGAGAGGATGAGCACCTCCTCCTCACACCCCCACCGCCCTCCAAGCAGGTTCCCCAAGGGAACATTCGTTGTGGAGGAGGAAGCCCAACCCGCGCCCCCCCCAACCACCACATGCTCCCAGCTGGCATGCCAGCACCAGGCAGCCCTCCTAGGCTCTGCGGGCATGGCAGGAACCCCAGGTGCCCCTGAAACTCCAGCCCCAGCCTGGCAGAGCTTCCTGGGTTCAAGGGCACAGGGGACCAACCCTCTTTTTCCTCCGAGTCTTTTTCTTGCTCTGGGTAGATCATGTACCTTCACCTCCCACCAGGCCCTTCTCAGTGGGTAAAGGTAAAATGTGCTGGCGTTCCGGGCCCACGCAGGCTGGCAGCGGGGCAATCATGGTGATGAATCACGCCGGCACGGCAGGCGCATGGTCCTTGTGGAGCGTCACTAATGAATTAGCTTCTCCCCAGCACGCGGCTTCTCAGACTTTCCCTACTCCCCAGGAAGGCAGGAAACTGAGACCTGGGAAGGGGGAGCAATGGGGACAGAAGAAAGGGCTCCGACAACTCCGGGGATGTGCTCCAACCCGGGCCGTCCCCTCTGCCCACGCACACACACAGAAAAATGCCCAAAGTGTGGGTCCCTCAGACACCCCCAGAAACGGCTTCTCTATGCCTCCTCACGAGCTCTGGTTGCCCTGCCCACCTCCACATCTGTGGGTTTGTTTTTTTTTTTTAATAAATTTTTGAAATACAGAAAAAGCACAAAGCTCTCTGTGATAAACACCCCCATGCCCAGTATCCAGCGTGGACAATTGTTCACATTTTTGTCATACTTCCTTACATCTGTGTTCTTTTACATAAAAAGAAGGTAGCACATGTCGTAATACGAAAGTCTCCTTTGTGCCCTCCAGTGTCTTCCCCACCGCACTGACCCTGCCAAGGCTCCCCTCTGGCTCCCATTCCCCTCTCGGGGGCCAGGACCACTGGGGCTGCTGAGACCAGAATAAGATCATGGAATGTCAGCATCGTAGGTTCTTAGCAAGGATTTGAGCCTGTTAGCTCCAACCAGGAAACATGGGAACAGGGACAATGCTGAGTTCTGTTAAAGGTCGGCGAGAAGTTAGGGACCTTCATCCCAGAACAAGGCATGGAGACAGAAAACTCACCAGGGGTTCCCAGGGGTTCATAATCTCCTGGGGTCTAGTCCAACTCCTTCCTTTGGAGAAAAAGGACATTGACCATGTGTCCTTCATTCCACAACTCACTCTCCTGACCTGCACCACCACCACCCCCAACTTGAGTCCTCCGGTATTCATTCAACAAACATGAAACCCCTACTTGTATGCCTAGGCACTGGGGATTGCCGTGAATGTGAACATTATAGGCAAACCCCCCTGACTTTGTAGGACTTCTATCCTTGGGGGTGGAGATAATCTACAAAACGCATTCACAGTCTGTCAGGGACTAGGCAGGCTTTGCAGGAAATGAAACAAGGGAGAGAGTTCTGGAGGATGGAGGACCCCGTTTAGAACAGAGTGGCCAGGGAGACCTCCCCGACAGGGTGGCCTTGGAGAAAAGATGGGAAGGATGAGAGAGGGCAAACCATGCGGGTTGTTGTCAAGGGGAAATGCGTTCCAGGCAGAGGGCATAGTGGTGCCAAGACCCTGGGGCAGGAGTGGGGATGGGGAGAGGGTTTTGGAGCAGCAAGGAGCCTGGGGAGCCAGGGGGAGTGTGGTTAGAGATGAGTCCAGAGCCAGCTAGTGAGGAGGGGGCAGACCTCAGTTGGGCCGTGACCTTTGTGGAGGCTTTGGCTTTGACTCTGGGTGAGAGGTCAGTGTGGAACTTTGAGTAGACGAGTGGCAGTCTGACACGTATCTGAACAGGCTGCAGCTGCAAGAAAGGGATGCTGGGGGCGGGGGTTCCTGTCTTGATTCTCTTCCACAGGAAAATGCCGGTTCTCACTTACGGAGCCCCTGTAGATTATCTTGTCCACCTTCCAGCACACTTTTTCCAGGCAGATACTAAGCCCCCCTTCTCTGACTGAGGAGAAGACAGATCCAGTGGAGTAGCTTGATCGAGGTTACCCAGCTGGGGCGGGGCAAAGCCAGACCACCCTATTGCAAAATCTGGGCTTCTCCTCCTATGGCTCGTTGTCTCTCTCGGCTGGGGGAAATTAGAGAAACCACCCAGGTTGTCTAAATGCTCGCTCCCATCCTGCAAAGAGTAAAGAGTTTTCTAGAACTGCCCTACTTGGAGATTTTGATCCCAGGGCCCAGGGCTCGGTGTGTTCGACTAAATGGGGGCAGCATTCTAGGGCCCACAGAACAAGCGTCGGAACCTCAAACAGGTTCAAGAAGGCAGACCAAGGAGAGTCCCAAGTTCAGGGGCAGCCCAGGGCTGTGATCTGAGCTCAGGGCTTGCCTATTAGCAAATCCCAGGCCGTCTCTCTAATCAGAGGCAGACCCACGATGAGCCCAGGGTCCTTCACTCACGAGTACCTCCACTCAGGTACCCAAACTCATGAGCCTCGCTCAGCCCCTGCCAACCTGCTCCCCAGACTCCCTCGAAACTAGAGCCTCACCATGTCCTGAAGATCACATTCCCCTGGAACTTGAGCCCTGAGAGTGACCTGCCAGGTCTGTTGAAAGGTGAGTCTTCTCCCTTGTCCCTTCCAGGGACACTAGAGCTGCAGCAAAAGAGGCCAAGAG